AAATAACCTAAAGGGATCCACAACTGGATTACGAAGAGCCTGACTTCCCAGGCTCCACTCCTTCTAACGTCTAGGTGTAAAATGTTTCTGACATCTGAAACAAGTTAAGAGCGATGGAAAGGTAACATGCTTGCAGCAGAAGAGAAAATTTGTCCGCAGCACTTCTCGAACACATGATATAAGCCACACAGATGGTTTTTCTCAATTTAACTCCCCACCAAAGAAAAATCTTTTCCCGGAAGATGTGTTTTCTTTCTTATGATGACATGCAGAATTCTTCTCTCATGAGGTCGGTGCAACAAGTCACCGTCATGGCTGATGGCTGCAGGTTGAAATAGAGATTGTTTCTGTGGATATTACATATGTAGCTCAACAGAAACTTCATTCAGAAGGCGGCAATCGTGGCCACATGGTCTCCATCTGTTCGCTGTGAGCACACGGCTAAAAATGAGCCAAACTTTTGATTGCAGTCATCTGTTTTGAGTCAGTTTCTTAATATGAAAATCAAAAATCAAGGTAATCGGACGTTCCATAAGCCTATGTGTACTGTTCAACCTGTAAACGTGGCACTAAAACCATGCTGAGCTAGTTTGGAACACAGACTTTGAAACAGAAATAATTATGACTTTGTCCATTCACTTTTAAATAGTTGTTTTCAAGTGTTCGAATAAAAATTGCTGAAATATCGACACGTATGGAGAGCATTTGGAGAAAATTATTATGTTTAGTGGAAGCGAATTCGTTACTTCGTTACTTGAGCTGTCAGAATGTCGACAGAAGGGGCTTTCTGAAGGAAATCTAAATCCACTTCATGACGTAACCCATCAGAAAAGTTCAGTGGTGTTTGCTTCTTTCAAACTTTTCTACATTTTCGTTCTTTTTTTGCCCCCTTTTAAAACGACTGTCCTTCAGTGGATGCTGAGCAAAGCTCCCTTCATTACGCTGATGCTTGCTGATGAGTCAGCTAAACTCCGTCTCCAACCTCACTTACAGCAGAGAGAGACTTTTCAGCAGGGTGGATTTTTTCAAAAGTCTCACACACACACAGGGAAGATTACATTTTTCAAATGACACTTGGTGTTTAATTTTTTTCCGGAGAGATGCTAAGAATTTTTTTTGCATTCGGAGCGGTGTTCCCTGAAATGCTCTGAATTCTGTGGCTGTTTTCGGCACTCAGATAAGCCTTGTGATTATTTATGGAGCAATGCTTTGTCACACTCTATGGACAGGAATCAGATACTTTGTGTTGCAACTCTGGAAACAGTCCAGTGTGGTTGGTCTTTGCAGTTATGAGCAACAAAACAAGACTGAACACAACCCTTCAGTGCCCATCTGACGACCAAAACAAAAAAAATAAACATCTTAAAAGGATCGCCTGCTGATTATACAATCCAGACAGTTCTCAACCAAATCCGGAAGGAACTCACATAAACATGTAACCCACTTAGACAGGTTTCTCCACAGCCTCCCGGCTTTTGTTTCCTATCATGTTTGGCCCCTTTTTCGTTTACTGGACAATCCGCATTGTTCGCTGTTCGATGTTTTGTGGTTCCTTGCAAACTGCTGCTCTGACACATTCAGAGGATCTGAACATTTTTAGTGGTTTTACTCTCCTTCCCCACCAGCGCGCTGACAATCGCCTGGCTGGACCTGCCCTGCTGACTGCTGACTGGTAGGGCTGCCTCTGCTGACTGGCCCGCAAAAATCCAGCGGCTGGTCTCTGTTGGACAGCCGTGCGGGGAGATCCAGTGTCCGCCAGCAGAGATTAGCCTTGTCAGAGGATCGGCTCTGGCATACTGGGGAGGCCTGTGAAGTTGAACGAAATGCCACAGCCGCTGAAATACAAGCAGTCTTATTACGTTTGTTTACAGGGGGACGTTTCAAAGCCCTCATCTGAACTGGGATGATCCCGCAAAACTGAGCCCCAAAGGCTCGCCTGGCATTAAAAACAAAAGAAAAAACACAAAAAAAAAAACACTCTCAGAAACAACTTGTGGCTCCTTATTTAAAAAAACAAAAAAACCCTAGGAAAATTAAGTGGTATTCGAGTGTTTCATTGGAGTGTAAACCATCTGTGAGCCTAAGTTTACTTAACGCTCAGTTCACCGTGACTCTTGACTGGCCAAAGGACATGCTTGACCTCTGGGCCCCTGCGGCCGAGGGGACAAGCGTTCAGCCTGTGGCAGACGCCCCGCGGCAGCTGACCGGCAGGATCAGTGTCTGAAGTCAGAGAAGCAGGGCAGCTGCCCAGCAAATGGCCACTGTCTTATGAATGACAGCTATTCACCTCCCCCCCCCTGGACATCACATGAGCGTCGCCTCCTACTGAGCACAGCGCGGCACACAATATCGCCCTGTGTGCTTTGATACAGTAGAGCCTGACGGGGAGGGAAGGAGGAACCCGTAACCTGGCCCTCCAACCTTGAGCCCAGGGATGGTGCACCAGAGACGTGGGGTGAAAAAGATTGTGTAAGCAGCAGCCTCAGTCAGCCGGGCGCACCGCAGCGTGCTGCTGCAAAAAGCAGCCCCCTTTTTGCCTCTAAACTTAGATGAAAATACAGTTCTGTGTCACTGAACTCCGTATGTAGGGCGTCCCGAGCTGCTGAGAGATAACCGCCTCCTTTACTCCACTTTGGTCCCTCTTTCCCACATTTTCTGGGCCATCTGCTATCAAAGCGGACAACGCTGGAGGTCACAATCTCACATCACTGTTCTGCTCACGGCAAACACATGTTCCCCAAAAAAGTACCCTTAACCTTAGTGCATTTGTTTCCTCATCCCTGGCTGACAAATCAACCTCTAATGACATTCTCTGCTCATATTGCTGCGCTTTCTCAGTGCCAGAAATGGGGGAAATGACCTAATTACATGGTAAAGACAACCTTCACATGCAGGAGGAGGAGGAGGAGCAGGATATGATGACGGGACAGGGTAGATGGGAGAGCACAAAAACAAGCAACTGACATCATCATCTGGGACAGACATGGGGGGAAAAAAGGCACAAATTGGTAAACACTCAGCGGGTCAATATCATTCATACGCACGACTGACACCCTAGAGGTAAAAAGAGTGACATTCCCGTGCATGGCAGCAGCTGGATACGGCGGACGGAGCCAGGATGCTGCAGTGTGTGTTGTAAGCAGCCCATCCTGCCGCGGCCGCTGCTTCATAATGTAAGCAGCAGCAACTCTGATGCTATGTAACAGCGCAGCATGCAGGGAGTTGCATAAGAGAAGAGGCGACGGCGGTAAACAAGGAGGGCGAGGACCAGATCCTCCCACGGCAAGAGGCACGGCCACCGCGTTGGGTTTCACCGCGAGCTCAGTCGGCGTGGGCCAACCCAAGAAACAACATTTTGCTGCGAGTTGCAGGAGGGCACCTGCCCAAAGTAAAGGGGAGCCCGGCGATGCAGCGCCTCACAGGCAGCGCTCAGCTGTCCGCAACCACACTGCAGCACTGCTCAGGGGAGCGCATACCTTGGTTGCGAAAACAAAGTGTGGAAAGTCGCCCCGTGGCTGAGAAACTCCCCCCCACCCACCAACCATTTCATCTACAAATTCCTGGGATATGACTCTCATTGCAACCACACACACACACAAGTACTCACAATGAGGGGCACGCTGACAGCAGCCTCCTTACAGGAGCTTCCAGGACCTGGATCGGTGAAAAGAGAAGGAATCCTCCTCTCTCCTCTGTGAAAAAGGCTTCCTGTCACACTTGCCCGCCTCTCCTTTTTCTCACCGCCTTTCAGCCTTTCGCCGGCAGGCTAAAAAACGAGAGCAGCTGAAGACGGAGGGCAGAGATCTGCAGGGCTGAAACTCTGTCAGTGTGCTAATGCCGGGATCTGCCTCCCTCTCTGCGCTTCTCTCCTCCCTCCCCTCCCTCCCTCAGTGTTTTCTCCAAGGTCAGTGGGTAGAACCGCTGATCTGACTCCTCCCTTAGTGGACAATACCTTCCTACAGGCCGGACACCCTGGGAGTAATTACCATCATGATCCAGATTAACTCCTGGGTGTGCTCTTGTTGTGCTGTGACGGGCCGGGCTGAGCAGCACACAGAGGCAGGATTACTGGTTGGGACGGTGGGTGAGGGGCTTATAGACTCTACAGGAGGGGAGAGAGGCAGACATCACAGGAACGCTCCTTAAAGCTGACGGGATAAAAAGCCTCAGACACAGAGCTACCAGTACAATCAGGCATCCCCACATTCAGACATGTGAAAACTGAGGAAAAAAATCTCAAGAATGCAGAAGGGCCTCGAGTCAACGTCACTCTGGTTAAATGCGCAAAATTACATCAGAGGGATGTTAAGTCTGTAATTAAAGGGGCATTGGGACAGACATGGTGTCATTTCTTTCAGTTCTCGACACAGAAGGCAAAGTGAGACGTGCTTTATCTCTTGTTGTGACATACAGTAATCACCTTCTGACCCAGGAAAAAAGAAAAGGGAAAGGCGATCATCCATAGATGGCTTTTTGCACTCATAAAAAACACACATTCTGGTGTATTCAGAGGATGGAAATAAATATCACATGTTCGGGGGGGAAGTTGGTGTTCATGCTGTTCGTGTGCTCCGTCTAATAGTGGCTGACTTGCGCGAGATCAACCCCCTGTAGAGCCAGTTCAGGAGATTTGCCGAGCATTTAGCTTCATCACCCAGTGGCTTTAGATCCTGGGATGGAATAGGATAATACCCGGTAACTGAGCAGCAAGGGCTCCTCCCATTATCATAATTTAATAAAAAGACACAACCCCAGTGGCATTAATTGCTTACTGACACAGCTAAATCGCTGATTAATTTGTGGGGAAAGCAGCTTGTTCTTTAAATAAATGTTTGTGTGTATGTATGGTATTTATAACTATGTAATAGTGATTGTTTAAAAAAAAAATCATGCCATCTTACCCTGTAATGTCGAAACAAATCAACAATCTTTGACAGACTTTCTGTTCCAAGTTTTATCTTTGGGAGCTGATTACATCATTTGGAGCGAGGAGCAGGTACTTAATTTCCTTGAAATGTGCTGACACCCTCTGGTTGCTGGTGATAATTACAACCCACCACACACTTCAAATGAATGACATGAGATGTGAGGATATGAGTTTGCTTTATATACAAATGAACCTGATTAAATCCAATCAGATAAAACAGACCTCAGATTTGGGTACACACAAAGTCCAAAGGCCGGTCTGGTAGCATCCTCTTTTGTATTTCAAGATTTTTTTTTTTAACAGCATGCTCAAAAACAAACCAGAGCAACGCAATGATTAAAAACATGCAACAAAAATCAAATGTAAAGTTGGGCCAGCCAACAGTTGGTTTTCACAATGTAGAAAACGATCAAAAGGAAAATACAACACAAAGAAAATGATGACAGACACAAAGAGATGTAGTTACAGTACAGACCCAGCAGATGGAGGCATACAGTGTGAGATTGGTAACACAAGACCAGTGAACAGGGAAGCACAATAGACAACCAGAGGCTACAGTCCCACTATAACTGTGATATTGTAGCACGCCGTATCCACAAACCCACAGCCCTGTCAGAATTGTCCCTATTCAGGCTGTTTTTGTTTGTATTTGTTTTTACAGCAGACTGGATTATAAAACTGACTCAGACTTTCTGCCTCCCGCAGCGATTAAGTGGGTCAGGTGAGTCCAAAAGGCACATGGCGCTAGATCAGAACATGGCATGGGAAGCGCAAGCTGGCCATATTTTCAGACTGTTTGAACTCCAGGCCAAAAACCAAGGCTTGTGTAGGTCATGTTTATGATTCGCCCACAATCCAAAAACGCAATCCCAAACCATTATTTACTTTCAAAAAGGCCATGATTTGTTTTCCTTTATTTAACTCAAATGATAACTCCAGAGCCTAAGATGTCGCACAGAATCATGTCAATGGATTGCCAAGTAAAAGAAAAAGAAAATGGAACCCTGTATCATTTCTAACCAGAACACAACAAAAGAGACGTTTAGTTGAGCGTAATTACATAAAGAAATAGAAATCAAACCAAATATCTGACTGCAATTAAAGTATGTGGGATAATAAATGTAGAACACTCTTATTTCCCTCCCAGAGAGGCAGAGAAAACTTTAAACACTGCATGATACAATAGCTGGTCGTCCATGCAGAATCAACAGACAGTTGTTAGAAAAAGAACACTGGTTCTTTCAAACGTCCCCACTATATGTCCTTTCACTGGAATTTCTTTTTAAAAGACCTGAGCTGTACCGAGTAGTCTGAATACAGTGCATCAAGTAACATCCAAATACTGAAAACATACAGTAATATTTACTCATACTTGTCAAGTACCTTATCGGTAAAACCTGCCTCTGAAATCGTGGTTGAAGTTTTCGTTTCAAGGTCTTTATTTTTCTTGCTGTTTAACTATCTGACTTTTAGCTACTAACACAAATAAATAAACAGAGAACAACACAGGACTATTGTGTGATAAAACAAGAAAGCACTGTAGGTTAGTAGATTCAAAAAAAGAATATCGACCCAGACTAATTCTGTTATACTGCAATAAGCAAATAGGTAGCATTTTTCTTAATTGGTGGTGTGTATGGATGCCCCACTTTACCTCTCTCTCTCACTCTCTGAACTGGCTTGCTGTTCTGTGAACTGTGACCTTATTTTAGGCTTGAACAGTAGATGTGGTCCGGTGAACTGTGTCACAGTGTCAAGGCAAAGCATGGCTCATCATGGCAGAGAACAGACGTAGCACCTAATGGTGAAAAGGACATTAAGAAAGAAAAAAATGACATACATGGTAGTTTTAATAGTAAATGAAGATGCTTCTTCAGGTGACCTGTGGCTGTCTGTGAAGGCAATATAAAAAAATTAAAAAAGAAAAGAAGGAATGCAGAGTCTGTAGTAGTGCAGCGAAATGCGAAATGATCGACGTGTGGATCCACAGCAGCCAGAAGTTGGCGATATCCCTCCCGGATCCACAATGAAGTGCAGGACAGTGACACAGGCACGATGAGTCCACACGTGGCTTCCCTCTCTGGTCTGGTGTATACTGCTCATGATGTTGGGTATATCATACCACTGTCCCCGACGTGTTCTCCCTCTTAATTCACCGTTCTGTCATCGTTTTCTTTCCCCCCCAAAACGGCAGCCCTAAAAGTTCCAAACGTTTATGAGCTGCCTCTGCTGGACAACCTCTCTGCTGTGCAGCTTCAGGGACTTCCATAGGAAGCATTGTCAGATCAGGTAGAGCAGGCGGGGTCAGTGACGTGACTGGTTACAGCTGGAGACCAGAATCAGGCGCTTCAGCTGTGGTAGCTGGGCACAGACGCCTGTTTCTGGGAGAGACGCAGCAGCTCCTCCCTGATGGCCTTTATCAAGGACGCAGAGGACTGAATGGGAGGAGACGTATCCAGAGGTTGTGGGGATGTCACATAGCCCACGCCGGGAGAATCAAAGTGGGTGGGGGGCGCCGTGGGGTCCCTCATTCCACTTCTGTGCAACTGGGGGATAGAAAGACAGGAGGTCAAGAGGATCACTGAGGTGACGGCAGGAAGGAAGGGCTACTTAAAAAAAGAGGAATGAGGAGATCATGTGAAAATACATAGCATGAAAAATACACAGAAATAACAGATAGGTGAGATGTTTGATAAGTGAAATTACTAAAAACACACAAATGCTAATGCTAAGCCAAAATAATGCAAATATACATCTTTATCTGTGCAACTGAATTATTTTTCAGCCAACAGTGGTTCATCCAAAAGGCCTTTTACCTTTAATATGGAAACTTTTCTACTCATACATGTAAAAGAAAATCTGATTTGGTTTTCACATACTACATCTCTTTCTGGCTCCGCCTTGGAGAAATGGTCATCGTGGAAATGGTTCCAGCCTGCGCCCCCATTCTGGCCAGGAGCAGCCCTGACCCCTGCCGGGTAACCATTCATCCGACTGGACAAGCCCACCTGTGTCAGATGATGGAGTTGGGCACCTACGAGCACACACACACGGCAGAGTTAAATTACCTGAAAGTCAATCCTGTGCTGTCTGTTTACAATACTTTGATGCAATCATCAGTTTGAAAAGCCCTCTGCCTGTACAGTGCCACACTCTGTATGCTAAATGCCAAAATCCATTTCTATTAGCATAAGTGACGGTGGCAGGAAAACAGAGGGACTAGGCTCGCTTAATTTGACAAATTGACAGTGCGGCTTTGCACATCTGTATCAAAACTGTGTTTGTGTCTGTGGAATTGGCAGAAAATGGGAAAGAAGCAGGAAAAAAACAGCCTTCTCTCTATTTTGTGTTCATGCATTATTCCAGAGTGGTTTGTCCAAATAAGAAACAAGACGCAGGCCATTTATAATGCAAAGAAGAAAAATGTCTGACTTGAAAAAAAAAACAATGAGCAGCGCTCACCCAGAACAAATACCGCTGACTTTTTAAAAGATAAAAAAATCGGCAGTCAGCAGCAGTAATTTAGTGCAGTCACAGTTCCGAGTGTACCTGTGGTTCCCCCCACCGGACGTGGTCTGGCAGAGGACGGCAGCTCGTCGGCGTAGAGGCCCCTGCTGGAGAACAGGCTGTCTGGCTGGAGCTGCTCGCCATGTCCTGCTGTTTCTCCTGGTGGTAGATAGCTGGAGCCAAGGCCCTGTCTGTAATACAGAGGAATCGTTTCTCGCATTTGGCTGCTGTACAATGAAGCCGTACTGGGACAAATCTGTAAATTCTTCAACAATGCCCTTGGAGCTGAAAACATCCATGCCATATGGAGCATTTTCTACCACAACAGTGAAACAAAGCCGAATCGATAGCTACTATTTTCTGTGCAATTGTAGAGATACCAGTACGATCTGGCCAGTATATCTTTCAGCAATCATGCTTTTTTTTTTTTACAATGTTTTCTATGTGTAAAAGATATATATCTTTAAATTAATATTTATAATGTCAACAGTCACATTAAACTTTTCCCAATTCACAACCTAAAAAATAAACAAACACAGCTTGCCAGGTATGCTGTATTCAGACATGAACATGTGTGCATGTGGTCTTTCTGGAGTTGATAGAAAGACCAGATCCATTAAACCAATAAAATAGAGATGACTCTGCTTTTATTATTCATGTGGTCAAGTCTGTGGATGCACCAAAGGACGGAAAACATTCACAGCGCAATTATTTACAACACATCATCTGCACCACTATGGGAGAGGGGGATGTTGACATATAGAATACAGAATACACTCATTTAGATAGAGACACTTTGTTTTCAACATTTTACCTGGGTGTCAAGCCTTGGACTGCAGTAGAGGACATGCCCAGCTCAGAGAACCTCTTGAGGAAATAAGAGGAGACACATTATACTTAATTAGAAGGAAATTATTCAAAACAAAGGCCTTAAGTATGTGGAACAGAAACCTAAAATATCAAAAGGCAGACCCTTTACAGTCCTCTGCTCACTCTACACTGACCATTTTTTGTATTTACTGAAGCATGGGGTGGCCAGATGTGCTTCATCATGAGATCTTTGGACCTACAAAGGCAGCACAGGCTCATTTCATGGCTCCAGTGCTCACTGTATCTCTGCATCTGTTACCTGGTGTGAACACCAGGGTTAAAATGGTAGACGTAATTTTGGTTGTCTGGGGACCAGGGCTTGACTTTCATTTGTGGAAAGTTAAAATCATAAACTGAGATAACACAGCTTTTAAACTGTAATTCTGTTTAAAGTTAATGGAACGCTGCTTGGCTGCATCTGTACAACCACAATGAGATCTTGCTACAGTCATAATACTGACTTGTATCTAATATGAGTGATTTATTGGGTAATTATCTATCCAGGTTCCTGGTAGTACTAGATTGTCTAAATGACAACCCCATCTACTCACATAACCCTAACAGGGACTAAAAGCCTTCATCTAATTTCAGCTCTTTCCGACTCTCTGAATGAATTTCAAACTATGGTTTATGCTGTATATCATCTTTACTTAGTCTCTTAGCAGAACCCTCCACAACCAGATACGTGTAAAGGGAAGAGTATTGCACGTAAAAAAGCTTAACTCACTGTCTGTCACACAATTTTCCAATTTACTCTCTGGCTGTATCTTGTTTAAAAATCAGTCAACATTTACCAGAAGAAATTTAACACGTTGACAACATTTAAGGCTATAAGGCGACGGGGCCTTAGGAGTTGTACTGTATATAGTTGATGGGGGTGGTAAGGTCGCTGCTCCATGGGAGCAACAGATGGAGGAATGCTTAACTGATAAGCTTACTAAGAGGAAACGATTTAACTGGAAGCTACGGGCTGAGTGTACTGAATGAAAACTAAAACCTTTAGAAAGGGAAAGAACTTGTCTGTTTGTATGTGTGTGTGGGAAGAATTGCACGTTTAAATAGGGATTTGATTTCTGTAGCTCTGCTCCTTGACAGAATTCAGCCTATAAACTTAAAGCAGTAAAAGGCTTAAAAACCTGGATAGACATCTAAAGATAGAATGCTACATGAAAGCAGCCAGTTTTGACAGAATGGTGAACGCCGTGTACAAGGTAACTATAAAAAGATCACAACTCACACCAGGGAGCGGGCCAAGAGTTTGGTAGGAGGGACCCCAACCTCTAGGGCCGCGACCTGGAGGGCTGGAGCACTGGGGGTTGCTGTTGACTCCGGGGAGAGTGATCCCTGCTGTGCTGCCCTGAGAGGTGGGCGACACCAGAGCAAAGGCATCGTCCAGCAGGGAGTGCATCTGCTGCCGCGCCTCCTCAATGGAGGGCTGTGGAGGCATGTAGGGTGGTGGGGGAGGGGCATGCCCTGGAGGTGAGGAAGCAGGACCTAGAAAGACGTCATCCGTGGGGGAAGGGCTCCTGTGCGGGGATCCTGGGCCCTGGTCAGGGTCCGACTGGAATAAACACAACAGGCGTGCATGTCCGGACGCTCAGACAGGGATTTGTGACACGGTTTAGGAATGGATGAACAGATGGCGGTTATGCATTACTCACCACATAGGCTACATTGTTGACACCAGGGCACTTTCTGTAAGCATCGATGTCTTCGGTGATGAGGTGGTCTTTGTCTGCTTCCCTCATGCCCCCATTCAGCTGATCCTTCAGCCTCTGTTTAGGAGAGCGCCTCCCACGGCCACTGGGAAACAAACAGAGAAATGCCTTCCCGTTCTAGGTTTTGTTTTTTTCTTTGCTTTTGCTGAGAAACGGAAATGTGCCATCACTAAGCAAACCTTTTTTTTGGCTCCATGAACATGGAGGGCATCTGAGTGTCTGGCTCCAGGATCTTATTGATTTGCGTCTGGGCTTTTTGGTAAATCTGATCCTGGTCTCTGGAATCTCCAAGGCCACCAACCATGTCTTCCATTGCAGGGAAGTCGTAGTGGCCTTTCCTTTTGGCACGTAAACGAATCTTGTTGCGATGGTGTTCAATCTCTGACTTGTGCCTTAATGCAACCTGAATCTGAGAACAGAGTGACACCATTTAAACCCAAAAGCAACGGAGTAATTCATCTGACATATGCCAAAAATACAACATTGGAGATTAAACTACATTTGAACATGTGAATAGGAAAAACTGCACTGTATTCTCTAAAGAATCTGCAAACCTTTACAGTTTGCATACCGATGCAGTTTATAGAGTTTACCTGAGCTCTGTATGTGGGCATAAATTGGGTTTTTCAGACTTCTCAAGCTATGCATTTTATGGATAAACAATTTAATATAACAGCATTCTTACTGATTAAACCAGGGCATCCAAATTGAATCAGTTTTATTTCTAGAAACAGGTGTATATATGAAAGCAAATCTTAAGTTTCCACTGCCCTCACAAACAAAAAGCAAAACATCCGGAGAAGCACACCTCTTTGTTGATCTGGTTTGTATCGGACATTTTGCTATTGATGGGTGGACTGTGCAGAGGTGGGACAGGCATGGGCTGCATCGCAATTAGCTGGACTTTATTGGGAAGTCTCCTGCTTGCATCTGTGGTGCGAGAGATCCGATCGACGTGCTCGAAGATGGCGGCTGAGGACTGCGGCTCTTTTGCTGCCCCATTCAAAGGAGGAGGACCTGAGGAAGGGAACAAGAACGCAGGTTAAGGTCAGCGTACAAACAGAGCTGGCAATACAAAAAGCTAATACTCGTTTTAAATTAGAAAGCACAATGGACCGGTTTCAGACAGCAATAACACAAACCACGTTCTTCTCTGACAAAACACGTTTGAGGGATGACTTCCAATAAAGTGTAAGGGGTAATAATTCTAACTATGTGGCTTTCTATTTTAAATAGTTTAGCATAATTTCAAATAGTCACTCTTTCCTTTGTGGGTTTTTTTTTGCTTCCACGCTGTGAGTGACAGCTCTGCAGACAGTGATGGATGGTGAGAACAAGCCCAGCACAAAACAGGCACAGAAGCAAACAAACAACACAGAGACACACAGCTGCGGGAGGTCAAGCCTGAGGTCTATGTGGACAAAAACGGTAGGTGGATAAACTCTTACCAATTCTATTCTTGCCTGCAAACCGCAATAGAAAGGAAAGAGAGGCATACTGAGGTGAAAGAAATTAAGTGCAAAGACAAGAAGTAGTTCTGAGCATGCAAAGAAAAATAAAAACTGATTTTCATCACTGAAAAAAAACACAACCACCAAGCAAAAGGTAAAAAAAGGAAAGTCCCCCAACTAAAATTACCCCCCCTCCCCTGGCCTTTGATTTATTAGCTCCAGAAGAAAGGAGGGTGTCACTGGAAAATGCTGATCCAAAGACTGAATGAACAAAAAGAAACATCCTGTAAGTGCTTCATACAATGTAATGATAAACTTTGTGTTGAGCTCATTCAGTCCAGGGCACCGTTTTAGCAATAACAAAACAGAGACCATTCCTTTGAGGGGGAGTCAGTGTAGTCTGTGTGCATGACTGCCTCTGGCTCCAGCACACAATCTCTGAATGGCATTGCAAGCCTGAATCTATCAACAAGCTGTCAGACAGAGTAACTTCAGCCAGTTTTTGTTTCCCATTTACTCCTAAATCCCCATCATGGGGCTTATTTTGACCACAAACTGAGTTCTTGCTAGGTGTTTGATTTACTTTCGCTGCTCCTCCCAGCAATCTTAGCAGCACTGCTGAAGTTGATGCAAAATTTTTTCACTGGTTTTTTCCCACCATTCTGTCATTTTCCTGCCCTCAATCTGGCCTTCCTGTCAATCAAACGTTGCCAGCTTGAGTTAGTCTTTGTTTATCTCTCTATCCCAGCCAAGTCCCACCAGTTCTTCCCATCCCCTCCCTGTGCACATTCACAGTCTGTGTTTGGAGGGGTGATGTTGAGTGTTGCCAAGGCCACTTGCCATTTAAAACATTTATGGGGACCTTACGGGTCTGCTTGCTGTCGCTGGGCGTGGCTTGGACTCTCAGGTTCTCCTCTGTCGATTCCCGCTCACTCGAATGATCACTCACCACCGAGTCACCGTCTGACGGGGAGATCCTATCCAGGAAACACATATGAATAATAGACGCCCGAGGACACACCAACATGCTGAAACATCATGCATAATCAAAAACAGAGCACTTCCAAAAGGGTAAAGGCTGGGAGAAGGCATCAGAGGAAAAAATATGTTTGATAGCTTTAATGCTTAAAGCAGCTCTATCGGTAGAAATATTAAAGTATTCATTGTTCATGACAGACTTTCAGTTAAGAGTAACAAACGGGAATACAGTGTGTAAAGCAAGCTAACCATGTGGTTAGATGGACTTTAACTTAACACACTGTGAGTGATGTGGACCGGCTGATGGGGCTAAAAGAAGATCCCTCAATCTACAGTATACAATCCTTAATCTGTTCTAGGTGTTTGGCCCTTAAGGATTTTTTCTGAGCTTTTCTCTCGTGCTCCTCAAAATGTGTAGCCTGTTAATATATGCATTTCAGTCAGATTCTCCCCCAGCTCTGCTCCTCTTGTTACACTGACCTTTCTCTCCTTCGACCACTGCGGGATGCCTTCATGGAGGATGCTGAGGTTTTAGATTTGGGTGTAAGGATCTCTCCATTTTCAGATGGACAGAGGCCATCTTTGAGGGATATAGGGAGGGGCCCAGACCCAAGCCCTGGGAGACCAGGCTCCTGGATCACCATGACATCATCTTTACTCTGCTGGCCAAGATGAAGTTTGGCAAAGTCAAATCCTTTCACAGTGGGAGTTTGTAGCTAAAGAAAGGGGCCGCAGTGGAAGAAGACAGGAACAAATAAAGTAAATAGGGAATAGAAGGAAAGACACATGGGATTACAGAGGTAAGCATGGATCACTAATATTCTTAAATATTTACTTAAAAACAGAGTGTGCCTCAGAATTAATTGGTGGGAAAATGTGGTATGAAACCTCTGTAGCTTAAAAATCTATTGACAAAATTATGATAAATCAATGCCAATTGAGAAATAAAGGCAGCAATTACAGGGAAATGACACAGTGACAAACCAAATAACTGCGCTGAAATTCCGGCTCAACACTCACAACCAGAGCTGAAGAACACTTTTTTATTTTAAGGGGGACAACTAAAGTATGGGCCTCTAGGAGGCCAACAGACAGACATGAATGAATACTTAATCAAATCTATGATGCGACATGTCTATGAAAAAGCAGGGACAGGGGGAGCTTTGGTTAAACACTGAACTTCTTTTTTTTGCGGGGGTGGTGGGTGGGTTTCGACTCTCCCTGAATTTAGTGGGGTAAACTGCACAGCTTAGACAAGGTTTTGTTGGTATAAAGCTGCTAATCCAGTGTGATAGTGCTAATCCTGAGAGAGAGAGAGAGTCAAAGTGTGTGTGTGTGTTTTCAATAAACAGGGCCAGCCTTCGAGAGGGAAAACATTCAAAAAGCTGCAGCTGTAAAACCAGTCCCATCGTCATCATCATCATGATCATCACCACGACACCGAATGAAAAGCAAACAAACAGCTAATGATATCTGCCACGCGTAATGCTCACTAATCACTACACGGCTTGGTCTAAAGGTAGATTGTGGGGTCACTCACAGTGGACAGTTCGGAACATGCAGACGGATACTGACTGCATCTGCTACCACACAACACAGCCACGGGATCTAGAGACTATGAAACACACCACGATCCACAGAGAAATCTGCAATGCAGGACCGGAATGTTGACACAAACAAGCACTAACGTCCACGTCTACTACACCATGTACCTCCTGCTGGGCTCTCCTCCCTTTAGACACAACTGCCATCCTCTCCTCTGTCTTCTGCCCCCCCGGTTTCTTTAACACAGCTTTGCTCTCTTGAACTCTCTTCTGCTGTGAGGCAGTTTCTGTCTTTCTAAGTTTCCTCTTTTCATCTTCATCCTCATCTTCTTCTTCTTCCCCTTCCTCCTCTTCTTCTTCTTCTTCCTCCTCCTCCTCTTCCTCCTCCTCTTCTTCTTCTTCTTCCTCCTCCTCCTCTTCCTCCTCCTCTCCTTCTTCCTGCTTGTTCGCGCTTTGTTTGCCCTTTGTTGGAGCTACTGGTTTCTAAGCAGAAGCAGTGATGGTTTAATAGGTGCTTGTCGGGGAAACACAGGAGGCCGCTAGGCTGCTCCCGGTTCCACTCACAAGGTGTTTTGCTTATTAAATACTGTGAAATATTTGAATGCCGTAGAACAAATAAGCAACGCCAAACACAAACACACAAACTAGACCCGAACAGGCTTTCTACAAACCAACAGACCTTGCTCTGTACCTTCCCTTTTTCAACCTCTATCTCCTCCCCCTCCTCCTCATCCTCCTCCTCCTCTTCTTCTTCTTCCTCCTCCTCCTCCTCCTCCTCCTCCTCTTCATCCTCACTAAATTCAATTTCTCTTTTAGTTTGTGGGAGTGGTTGACGCAGAGAGGCTCCTGATTCACTGAATGATGCAGGCGACTGAGAGAAGAGTAGTAGTGTTAAGTGTGTTGAGCTGAGCAAAAGGAGCAGAGTGTGTGTCAGTTTTGTTAGACGCCGGTTTAGCCTGTGCACAAATAAGCTCAAATGAAAAGCGAGGAAAAACTCAATTTGGGACTGCAGTAGAGAGGCATTTCTGTACCTGCAACATTAGACCTGCGACTTCACTGTGAAGCAGACGTTTTTACGTGTATTCAGACTGACTCACACCCTGTTAGAGCTAAAATAAAAAGCTCTGTAGCTGTCACTGGAACGCTTTACAGATGGTGGAACACATACTGTTTCCCTTATGAAAAATCTAAAAAAAGCCACTTGGAACCAATAACAATTTTAATAAACATGTAACTAGAGCTAAAAAAAGGAATACAAATAGCAGGTAGGGTGTCTGTTAAATATTGTGCTCCATTTGTTAAATGTACAGTACTGTTGTTGCAAATGGACTCACACATCTGTTTATTCTATTTCAAGTAAAAATAGCTTTGCAATATTTACGTCGGCTTTACAAAGCTGATATTGTTCATGTTATGAAAAGAATTTACCATAAATACTTTATCAATCTGATGTGCAGCCCCATGGGATAATGTATCTTAAAGTACCACCAACTGGAGGTTTTCCAAGCACACTCCCTCATAAAAACAGCCCTCCAAAACAGCAAATATCTCCATTAGAAGGAACATGATGCCTGCAATCCCTAAAAAAGTGAACATTGAACATAATAAGAGCCAAAATTGTTGACTCAGACTCTAAATTTGATTCCTAAAGGAAACGCTGTCTGCAGCCTGATTCCAGGCATCAAGGGGCACCTTCAGGGGTCCTGTGGCCTTGTTCTGGCACCACAAGACACATCCACACGATAACAAACTGCTGGTTTAACATTGAGAGCTATTGTTGTGGATCTATCCCTATTTATAAAGATGTGTTTGGGACTTTTTTGCCGTTAAATCAATCTTTTACAACTCTTGGAAAAAAATCATTGTTTTAAATTATGCAGAAAGCAGCCAAAATGCAAAAATATTAACATCGACTCAAGACGTCACTTATAAAATATTAAAAAAAGTGAGATCAAACAGGAAATTGTGTAGTGAGGTGGCTAGTGCTGTGAGCTAGAACCTGTGCGAGGAGGGACAAGAAAGGTTTTTAACAGAACCAGGGAGCAACATCATGAGCTGTAACCCCACACATATCCTTTAATGGATCTCACTTCTTGAGTAATTAAAGTTTTATCATTCCTGTCTATGGGAAGAAATGATGAAGTCCTAATTTTGAGCTGTGCTGAACCACACTCATGGCAGTGACCTATATCCATGACAAATCAGCAGGTCATTTAAATTTCAAGAGGTCACATGTTTCTTTTGGGCTTTTCAACTCAGCTAAAAAATACTTTCAATGCATAATATAACACGTTTGCGGGCTGATTTGGACACTGACAAGATGTCACAAAATCTTACTGAAATGACCTGAGCATCAAGAGTCTGGTCATACATTCACTTAACATAACTGGCGAAAATCTTTTGACAGTGCATAGCACCCAGTTTTAACCCTAGGATGAATACACTCAGGGTAAAGATACTGTAAAGAGTATGTGAGATGTAACTGCATGGGTGAGCGGGATCATACCTTTTGTCTCTGCTGGATAGATGTCATAGCATCTGGCTGAAACTCCAACTTATCTGTCCGACACAGTTTCCAGTACAGGATGGAAATGATGACTATAACCACAAGGAGGGGAATCACCACTCCAACGACGATCCATATGTTTGAGTTCTCCGTTTCAGAGGGAGGGGATGCCACTTTCTCGAAAGCTTAAGACATACACATTAATAGAGTGACAGTTTGTACATAAGTTTACATACACTATAATCATTCAAAGCTTAGCATAGTCTCACTGCTACATAATTCAATGCAAACCATCATTAGTCATAATTAAAACTCCTTTCATCCCTTGGGAAAGTACTGTCAGAGCACATAGCACAGACACATAAGTCCCCTGAGGGGCTCTCATTAGCCCTTCATTCCTTGTTTAGATTCTTAATGAGGAAGACGGGCTTTTGTATAGTGTGTAGAGAAGGATGTGATTAGCTTAAATGGCAGCATAAACATACAAGGAAACACATGGAGCCCACGTTAAGCATGAATGTTTGTTTTTTTATTATCAAAACATCAAGAATAGTGAAAACCAAGGGATAAAACCATCAGCAGGAACTGCAAAAAGGAATAAAGATTCTAGATAAGTCAAATTTAAATAGTTTTTCTTGACTATATTAACTAAACACATAATAATAAGAGGTAAAAAATTGCTGTAACACTCTTAAACAAAGACATCGCATTCCAGTGGGAGTTCCAACTTGGTTTTAATGACAATGATAATTTCTGTTGATTAAACATCAGATATCCTTTATCTTTTTTATCTTCATCTTTTTATAAAGATACTCACGCTGAGCCAAAATGCCCTGGACACGATATCCCAAGATAATGGCGGCCCTCTGAACGTCCAGGCTGTTGAGCAGGTTGGATGTGTGGACTGCGGGCATTCTCTCACCACTGGGACCCTCCGCAAAATACACTATTTCCAAAGGGTGGTCCGCACCCACCAGCCGGCCTGCACTTACTACCTAAGAATTGAGAAAAGGAAGGATGACTGTCACCGTGTCAGACTCAAATCATGAGATGATGTATGTCAGATATGTTCACAATGCAGATTTCAATATGAAACATTTGTTGCAAACAGGCAGAGCTTAAGAAACTGCAGAAAAAGGGCTTTAAAAAATGAGCACAGGGTTCTTAGATGATGACGCACCGTGGCGTCTAAATCCGGAATGGAATGTCTGATGAAGGACCTAATGAGCGAAGCATCACATTTTCTAAAAATGACTTTATGAAGGAGAGTCTGGCGTGTCATTTTCTGTGGGAAACTATAATTAATTCTGTTAGAATCCACTAGCTACAACTAAAATATTAACATTAAGAACTCAATAATCAGTAGTTGTTAGACTTTGTAAAAATGCTCACCTGTGGGCTTTTTTTTTTAAAGACACCACATCATTACATATAATCTCATAACTTTCATTCTTTTTTAATTAGACCCTGTTTAAATATTCCCCATGCTGTCTACCACGCTGGGGCACATGCATGAATTCATGAGTATGTGTGTGCATGCTCCCACTGGCTGTCCTGAGGCATGGCACAGACTGCCGTCTGCATTACTGGAAAGACTAAACTGCAGGTCATGGCCGGATTGACACAGAAAAATGACCATGCTTGCACTCTGAGTCAGAGTCAAATCTAGTCCATGCATGATTATCAGCGTGAAAAAGAGGGCACTGTGAATCTGTGTTGTTGTTGGACAACCTTCCAGTAGCCTCCCCCGTTTACCAGTCAGCAAAAGCTCATAAGGTGACAATACTACATTTATCCTGTCAAAGCAGTCCGTCTGAGATTCAGCATCTAAACGGTTGTGCGGGAGAACAAGGGAAAGAATCCTTCCCGAATCAGAGCCTCATCTTGAGTCACTACGCTCTCTTTGTCAGTCTGTGAATAAAAGTGGATGAATATAAATATCCAACCCAGGCTTCCTAAACAAGTGCATCCAGGCAACATGAAATATGAGCACACAATAAGATTTCTATGTAGAACAGGTATTTGTGGCTGTAGGAAACACATTTTGAAAAAATATAAACAGGATTGAAAGGAGGGACTAAAATTAGAACTCTAATCTTAGCACAGTAAAACAGACCCCTAAAAATTCATCACCAAAGCAGCCCTGTTGTCTCTTAAATCACTCTCTGGGTTTTATTGGAGACAACAGTATGAGAGTCAAAAAGGTCAGAGCCAGTAGGGCTGCTACTCAGCCAAGGCTGATATTTATCACTCTGACAGCGCCCTTGTTTAAAGTCCACTTTATGCACTCAGACTTCACGAGGTCAAATCAAATATGTATCTCCTCTGTCTCTCGCAGGTCATTTTTCTACCTTTTACCTTTCTTTAACATCTCTAAATACCACCCATTAGTGGCTCTTTGTCACCTAAAAAAGACTACTCTTGATCATCCCAAGAGCAGGATGCAGACAGAGAAAATGACTAAATTAATATTTTATCTTGTCTGCGGCTAACAGGAGCCATCAAGTTGAAAGGCTGTAGAAATAAGGAAGATGAATATGAGCCCCCTTAGGTGGAGGTCTTTGAGTGTCTGGTCCAAAGCGCAAAAGAGATGCTGTTGCCATGGATACAAAGCCATATCCTGTCCCTTTAGAGATGAGATGAGCAGGTGCAGAGAGGATTCACAAAAGCCAGAGCTTGATTAGTAAAGCACTTATGCTTTCACTGGTTACTGACACAGAAACCCACACATAATGAGCCCTCTGTACCCAGGCAAGCTAGTCTGGGAGAGCTCGCAAAAGGGAACGGTGATGTAAACTGGACAAGGAGAGGTGCTCTTCCAATGGGCTTTACCTCATCCATTTTCAAACCATTCTGTGTCAGAGTTTTAAAAGTTAGGAAGTAAAAACGACTGAGACTACACAAAACAAGTGAGACAGACTTCCTGTATGTCTGCCTTTTTTGTTAACAACCTAGGCCTACAGTAGGGCTAGGCTTATTTTTATTAAAAGTTACTATCTAATAATGACTAATATATCAGTTGATAAAAGCAATACCTGAACACTGCTGTTGCCAACAGCGGTGGCTCTTTTAACCCGTCGGACTTGTCCCATCGCTTCCCCGAGCAACATCGCCACCCGGCGCTCTATGTTTGCTTGGAAGGTCCTTTCACCCGCTTTCTGCTCCAGTACACCTAAGAGGACTGCAAACACCCAAAGCAGAAATAAAACGCAAAGCTTGAAACTGTTTTGTATTTGCTGCAAAGCTTGGGAGCAGCCTCTTACCACCCTACCTGTTCTAACCCAGGAAGAGCGGAGCAAATGGCTGGTGTTTAGCTCCGGATAATGGAAAGCTATGGGGAAAAAGGGACAACATGTTTCTCAAACAAGAGACTCAAAAGTCCAAATATAGTGCTGAGACTCAGCTTAAACTCATAATTAATAAGCATAACATTATCCCACACATATTGTTGAAATGTTTTAATCTAAAAGGCCTAAAAATCTTTAATGAGGTGGTACTCACGCTCAGCAATCTGCAGAACAGGAAAGCCCATGTAATAACTGAACTCCACCACTGTGAATTTCATCAGAGCATTGCTGACCTCTGACCCCATTAGGTAGCCCCTCGAACCACTAACAGCGAAGGTGATGTCCACTGGCCGACTCACCAGGCGTTGTTCCTCATATTTAGGAGAAGCCATTGTCACGTTTACAATCTGAAACGGGCAAATAAAAAATGAATAAATAAAAAGTAATAAATACAAAAAGAGTTTTAAGTCTTGCTCCTGAATATAGTTCTGTCTCATGTGGATGAGTGAGAAACAGAAAATACTGGGAGTGCAGGTGAGGAATTATTGGTAGTTGGTGCCAGATGGGATTAACATGACCTTTTTAGTTAGTTTTTTCTCTTGCACAAAAGTTCAGTTTGGTGAATTCTTTTTGGTAATAATTCATGTTCCGTTTTTATTCATTCATGTCACTGATATGTACTGTAGTCTATGTAGTTCTATAGTAGATTATATGGTCATACGCATCATAAAATAACTAAGAAAAATATAGAGCAATCTGTTAATCTAGAGTATCTGAAGCCCCAGGGTGTTCCCCATTTAAACTCCCACTGCTATGGACTTTTCGGTAAATATAAAGACCTTCTAGATACAGATCCTTGTGGAAAAACGCCAAAAGCACAATATGTCCTCTTTGATACTTAACAACTAGAGCATGAAGTGTTTTATAAATACCCAAATAAATAATCTTGTGGTCTTGTTCAGGACTGATGGTAAGAGGGAGAGATGGCAGGACGGATGGCAGGAGCGACAAACATTTTAAGGAGTATGCTGAGCCTGAAGGCGCCGTCCACCGTGTCAATTTTTTGGCGGTAAAACTAACTGCAACCCTTTTTAAAAGATATTTTAACGAGGAAAACGAGACTAAAAGATAAAATGGAATAAAGCAAGCATGATAGCTGAAGCCTAGGCTCTGGCTGCAGGTCCTCGGCTCTGGCGGACAGCAGCCAGTGCTGTGAGGGACAGAGAGCTTTGAGCTGTAAAGCCACAGAGAAAGCCTCCTAATGAAAACATCTCAGCTGGAATGCAAATACATGACTGCCCGTGCTTTCTTGCTTTCATGTGCTTCCACTCACATGCACTGTGACGTTGGTTGACCCCTTCGAGCGCCGGCGCACTTCTGCGAAGGCCATGGTCAGACCTCTCTCCACGCTCTCGCTGAAGTTGCAGTAGCGCACGTCAATGTGACCGGGAACAAACTGCAGCACTGTGTAGAGTGGGCAGGAGAAATTTATGCAGAATTTTAAACAAAACAAAACAAAACAAACAAACAAAAATAGGTTGCTTCAAGGCTGCTGAAATGAAATTTACCTGTGTGGACTTGAAATTTACGGTCAGGTGTCTTCAGGTTGGGAGATACTGACAGGAAACGACGCCCGGACCTTCGCAGAGCGTTGATGACGGAAATGGCTGAGTACACGATTGGACCTGACACCACCCGGAACACAAATCTTGGTGGGGGGTCCACCACCTAAGAAGAGAAATGCTCAAATTAGCCGGCCATCTGAGTAATCCAATCACAGTTACGTTACAGCAAATTTCAGCTCTGAGATTTTCGAAACGTCATGCGGTAAAACAAATATCCATAACACTGAATTGGTCCTTATTTCACAGTTCACACAACTTGCCCTCCAGCTATAAGTCTGTAAAAACAATCATAGGTGAATATATGAGGTTTTGTCCCGCTGTTAAAAGCACATAGTCTGGATCAGTTGCTCAAAACGTTCTCTAGTGAGCATGTATGAAGACTTATCACTGCAAACTTTATTTCTGTTTATTCAAATCTCAATGTGACAATTTACATAATGCACCGAATGCTGCTTTTTATCTGAAAATGTAAGGGCAGAGAATGGGTGAACTACTTCAGATGCAGTACTCCCAAAACAATAACATGTATTATATAATACGACTCACTTAATGCAAAAAACACTTAATATCCAGTTTTATTTGCATCATAATGTATCTGTCCTCCATGCGATTTTTCTCAAACAATCGTTTTACCTGCAGCTCCACCGATTTGTTGAATTCGCCTTTCAGTATGTCTCTGATTTGAGTTTTGGCATATCCAACAGTGGCTCCAGAGGGGAAACCTAGCACAGACAGCAGATTTTTCTGCTGTAAGTCCTTTGCATTTGGATAAAACAGTTTACTTGACACACTGGAGTATTGCAATTTTAAGTAAGACAGCTAAATCTAACTTACCGATTTTCGTTAAGTAAGCCGGCCTGTCATGTCTGCAGAGGTACTGCCTCGGTGTTGTTGCCATGGCTGTGGTAATTTCACTGGTAGTGGAGATGATGCCGACAGTAGTCGAGGCCTCGGTGGTGGCTTCAACCCCGGTTGTGGCTTGATGAGGAGTAGTTGTGGCAGTTGTAGTGGTGGGTGCAGAAGACAATGTATTAACCTCGCTGCTCGCTGGCATCAAGGTCATTGTGGCTGGGATGTCATCTCCATCTTCAGTCACACCCTCATCACCCAACATAACTGGGGGTACTAGAGTGACATTGTGCCATGTGTAATCAGTGGAAGCTGACGATGTGTTTAGAGGTTGTTCAGTTGCAAAGGTTGGATCTGGGGAAGTTGGGTCTGTTGTGCCGGCAGTGTCGTTGGCAGCAGGTTCAGTGGGACTGGGGGAGAAGGTCGTAGTTGCACTTAAGACAGGAGTGGTGTGTGTGGAGCTTTCTGAGACAGAATCTGTAACAAACCAGTGAACATCTGTCAGAGAGGAGGAAGGTATCACATCTTCCGGAAGCACTGGCGTTGCGCTAGGTTCTGCTGGAGCAGTGTGCACACCTACGATGCTTGTATGTGCAGCCCAATCTGTGGACACCTGCCCCCCCCATATGGAGGATGATGTCTCAAAGAAGTGAGTTGGGACAATCGAAGGGGCGAGAAAAGGCTCCGAGATATTGACAAGATGAGGACTCTCCTCCGTTGTTGCTGCTGGGGTTGATTCATCATGAACCTCAAAGCCTGACAGGTCACCAGAGGACTCCTCTTCGGTCAGATTAGTGTCACTGGTGAAGCCAGTGGAGGGTGACATCTCTGTGGCATTGATAGACACCACTGTAACATCCCCTCCATGTTCTGCTCCAGTTCCTGTGCTGTTCTCCTTGGTCAGCTGAGTGGTGTAATACTCCAAGCTGTTCATGTCAGGTAGGAGGACGTCTGTTGGTTGAATTGTGAACGTATCTGCCCAGTCAATGTCTGCCGTAACCGATATGTCAGTGCTGGGTGTTTGTGTGGGCTCCAGTGTAATGAGAGCTGAAGTAGAAAATGTGGAAGGATTAACAGATTTAAGGGGAACAATGGTGCTGCTTGTTGTCAAAAGGCTGGGAGTAGCTGAGACTTGAAGAGGGTTTAAGGATGAGGGTGATATTCCCACTCTGGAAGGAAAGGATGTGTCATAGCTTTCTGTATAGTCCTGGAGATCAAAAGGGTCAGAGGGCACCTTGGTGACCAGAGAATATGGATCTCCATCTGAATTGTAGAAAGACATTGTCTCCAGGTAATCGCCGGACCCCCAGTCCACATCCATGGTGTTGGTGGGGTAGTAGTCCTCTGGAGTCAAGTCGGTGGGCTCAGATAAAGGTGTTGCATGGTGGGGTGTGATGAAAGGCACATGGTGTCCAGGGGACGGAATCTCATCAGGCAGCATGTTTATGCCGGGAGCTGGTTTGTTTTCCATGGCCACAATGCTGGGGCTCAGCTGGCTTGATTTCCCAATTTGACCATGTGATTCGTTTGCCAAAGAGTCAGAGAATGCCAGTATTGGGAGTTCCAGAGGTGGACTGGGCATAAAGGTCCTGATGGGCAGTGTCTGATTTGAATGCCTATCCTGTATCTCACTAGAAGCGGCTTGCTTCACGGAATGAAGAACTAGATGAGGTGTTGATTTTCTAAAAGCAGTTGGGTTTGAAGATGTCATGGCTGTATTCCACTGGAGTGATGGGTCGGAACTTGTATAAATTGGAGGATGAGACGATGCCTGAAAGTTTGAATCTGTCCTGACCATCTTTGAGTCTGTGGAGAGTTTGGCTGATGCTTCATATCGTGGAGCGGACGCCAGAGAAGGTTGTGAAGTTTTACTCAATGGAGTGGTCAGAATACCTGGGTTTCCTTTAAGGACATCGACTGGCATCTGAGATTTGGAGTGATGTGTGTTAACCTCTGGCTTAAAAAGTGCAGTGTCAGTAGTCCTATCTCCATCAGTTGGTTGAGACATGGGTGAGGGGGCACCAGGTGACTCTGGGGTTTCAAAGGTAGTGTAATGTGAATTTAATAAGGCTGATAATGACGATCCTGTTGGACTTGGAATATCTCCGAGAAATCCCATAGTGTTGTGTGCAGAGTCCAATAGAGGCTCATCTGCGGATGGAAAAAAAGATTGTGATTCAGTTTAGAGGCATAGCGGAGTGGGGTTTGTCCAGGTAAAATTAGAAAACTCATTACTGGCTACAAAAACTGGTTCATGTTGTAGGATATGCTTAACAGAGACCATAAAACATCAAGTGTTATTCGCTACACTGACAATAGTGACAAAGACCACCACTTCACTCACGTCCAGGATTGGCCCACGACAGCAAGCTAATATGCTCCCACAGACCATATGTCTGGGATTTTACAAATAAACCGTAGAGAATGCATTTTCTAGTCTTTGTGTGGAGATGGTGGCTGATCTTGGAAGAGATGGATGGTGTGGATTTTCAAGTCATCAGGGAGCAACTCTACCTCGTACACAGAGCATTAGAATCCTCAAGGGTGACATTAGAGCAGTCGAAACAGAATAGAGCAAATGTAGGTTTATGCCAAGCCATTTGAGTTTAATTCGAGTGCCGAAGGCTTCTCTTTCCATTGCGTAACAGCGAGTGGCATGCGTGATAAAATTTCAGAAGTGCCTGCTAACATTTCACAGTCAGACTCTGTCATGTTTAAGTGGGGCATTATGGGTTGAAATGGCTCCTAAATAACGAATGGAAAAGACATTGTGGCAGTCCCATGTTCACCACTCTAATACGCCCAAATGTCTCATTATGAGATATTTAAGGAAACATTTGTAAAACACATTTTTTTCAACAATACAGTGCCACAGTATGGTGCCAGCAAAAACAACACAGATGATGGGGGGGTGAGTCAAAGGGCTGATTTACTTTGGGGATTAGAAATAACCAAAACAAAGCCCATGTGCCATGAACAAACTGCATGTCGGGGGTCAGAGCAAACTGGAAAGCTTGTCATCAGTGCAGGACTTGCATCAGCCTTGGAAGAGCTTCTCTGTAGTGACTCAGCAACAGCTTTAAAGTCTGCCGTTCTCTGTAGTTTACAAAACCTCTGCATTGGAAACAGCCACAGACGGATCGGACGGAGACTGAGGACTATTTTTAATACCAAGCAGACAGAGCAGATCACTTATAAAAAGGATCAAGTCGAAAGAAAACATTTCTGGAGCATCACGTTCGATTTACTGCGTCACTTCATGCCAGCATACTTCTGGCTTGGCACTGGAGAGGAACTAATTCTAACCTAGGTTGGTTAATCAAGTCAGTATGTCACTATAACAGAGCAGACTAAAAAGAGCTCAGAGAAGAAAAAACAACTTTGGCACACTTTTGAACCCAGAGGTAGTCAAGCTGTGCCTGCGCAAACTCAGTAGTGATACAAGGAAACAAACACAAAGCACACAGGAGCATGCAGTAAGTCATTGGATCAAATATCACCCTGGTGGTGATCAGAAAACAGTGAGTGATGATACAAAGAAAACTAATGCGACTTAGTGTGACTTATTGAATTGTTTTTACATTGTGAGACAGATGCTGAATCAGCTGGTATATCTATACCGGCTCAAACACGGCAAATACAAACCCATCCTTTTGGATATGTGTGTTATTTAATTTCAAATCTCTGTGTATAACAGCCTAACATCCGGCTCTTTGACATACATATAAAAACCATGTCAACACTTCACAATTCACAACACGCTTGGAATGCTGAACAAACAAAGACATGTAAGCTCCTAATTGCTCTAAGAAATCGCTGATATTTGAAGTCGAACTGTTTTACATGACCTAAAAATGTCAGCTCGTCTGAACTCAACGCTCCAACGGTGGCAAACCGTTTCATTTGGTCACACGGAGAATGGATAAACATGTATGAATCGGGGACAGGTATCAAGTTGATAAAAACAAACAGAAGTATCGACAAGTAATTGATGATATCACGAATAACTGTAGAGATGAAGCCAACCCTGATATGGATAATGGCTCTTACAGACACAGTAGTGGTTCAAAGAGCATGTGAGGTCCACGTGCACTGGGGGTGACATTAGAGCAGGCAAACACTGACAAAGATCTCATAGACTATGCTGCGCCGCCACCTGTTCCCTGAAACATGAGTGTTACACCTGGTTGGATGCGAATTGTTATGTCCATCCTCGAAATTCAAGTGAAGAGAGCATTAAGTCTAAGCTTAGAACGAAGCTAATGCGAAGCCATGACAGCCACAGCTTTTCTGCACTGCAAAATGAAGTACAAGTATTATTTGTACTACTGTATGTTGACGGTCTTCAAATGGTCTGTGGCTGCTGCTGCTTGTCGGGCCCTCTGCTGATGATCCCTCTCTAGATCAGATGTAGGTCTCACTCCATTCAGTGGCAGATCGTGTTTTTGTTGTAATCTACTGGTGACTCTAACACAGAGCTGCTTCCATGGAGCTCGGACCCTGTTTGTGTTGTCTCTTGGATCCCATTCTGTCAGTTGTGAAAAGCCTTTTAAATTGATCTTTTGCTTAACTACTTCTTGCCACATCTAATTGATTATTCAATCTCTTGGACAGCAGTGACTGGAAAGGGAAGGGTTTGCATTTTTTTGGGGGTACACGACCATTTATGTCCGCTTAACACCTGAAAAGAGTAAATTGAAATAACTTTTTAGGAGACTGTGATTTAAGTCCGACAAAAAAACAACAAAAAAACCTTGACCGGCTTCACTGTTTTGTTTTTGCCTTAGTTTAAGCATTCACGTCCAGGCTTGAATTACTGCCAGCAATCACATTAAAGGGATTCTGAAAAGACAGGGGATTATTACTGATGTTGGCTAGCCGGACGTACATTTGGAAAATCCAATCAGTTAAATAAATAGTGAACAAGCCAATGGAACCGAGCTAAAGGCAGGCAAAACTTGAAATATTTGAAGGTTTTGGCAAATAAATAGCTTAAAAAAAAAAAAAAAACAGAGAGGAAGAATTGAAAAATCTAATCTAATAAAAGAAAAAAAAATTCTGTATGTGCCATTTTTATTTGACTATACTCCCTCTTATTCTTTCTGTTATACTTGAGATTACTGTTTGTTTAATTAACTATTAAACAAAGTTTCCATCATTATTTAATGGTAGCATCACGCAGAAAAATATTGATAGGTTCAATTTAATGAGACTTAAGCACGCTTAAACTAAACAGCTGGTAAACACAGTACCTGCTGGAAAAAACATTTCAGTTGAAATTGTTTACTGATCATTAAAATAAAAAACATGTATCTGTATTTTTTTTGCAACATCCTTTCTTTTCTTTGTACAAATTAGATTCCCACCCAGGTAACCAGCATACTGTTACTTTTTCAGGTGTCTGAAAAATCTGTGTTTGAAATATTTTTTTTTTATAAATTGAAATTGAATCCAGAAAAAACAACAACATCCGTGAGTGAGCAGACAACGTCTAACTCGGTGTGGGCGTCTGCAGAGAACGAAATACACAATCAGCTTAATGGAGGTGGCAGCCTGCAGTCTGGATGTCCTTCTATTTGGCATCATTGCAAAAGGCCAGTATTGTATCGGCTCCCGGTATGAAAAGGAAACTGCAAACGTATGTTGGGCGCCAACTTTGTGGAGCATTTTATTCAAAGCAACTAAAACACCTTTATTGATAGGAAACAAGCTACTAAAGCAGGGAAACACCGGACATCAGCCAGGCAGCGGCACGCAGAGCCTGGATGTGCACATGCTCACGTCAGGCTGGCTGCAGAGCTGAAGAAAGACGCTATTAATGTTCACTAACTACAACCCCACACATGGTTCTGCTTTCAGCTGAGCCCCTTGCGTGACTGGCTCTTTTCAGCTGGCAGGAGCCGCCGTGAATGCTGAGAGCAGTCAAACAATCAAGATAGGACGGTGCTGACGTTTGCTTTATCAGGGAAGCTTTTAAGATGGGACAGATTCCATTGTTTTGTTTTTTTTATCAGAGGACTCGAATTAGATCACCGTCTCCGCCGAAGCTTAAACAGCACGGAGAGAAGGGGAAAAGAAAGAAAAGAAAAATTAAACGGAAGAGTAGGAGATTCTTTATCACAAACCAGCAAGCGTTGCTTTGCAGTGCACTTGTTGCATTTAGCAAAGACCAAATTTTACGAGATCAGAAGGGCATATTTGAATAAATAAAAAGAGAGCTGTAAACATAATCGTAGTTTGAAGGGTAATCCAAATCTTGTTCACCATCTAATGACTGATGTGAAGTTTTTAGCTAATCTGATCTGGCCAATTATGAACATGAGAAGAAAAAAAAAAGATGTGACTCCACTTTGAATCTCATAAAATATTCATGTGATCTTTGTTTGTCTTTCCTGAGGGAAAGGTTCTTAAGATAAGAGAAAGGAGAGTTAAAGAAAGAAGGGGAGCAGGATGAGGGGGAGGGGAAGGAAGTAGTAAAGTAGAGTCCAATTGAGAAAAGAGAAGAGACCTCAAAAAGGGAAAAAGAGGAAATCTGAGCGAGAGTTTTCTAAGTTCCAAAACATAAAAACTAGGAGTCTCTCTCTATGGCAAAAATCATAAATTCATAGTTCTAATAAGCAATTTTGGCACCCTCAGAGAGAATTTAGCTACACTTCAACTCTTTGTCAGGTCCTTATTTCTTTTCAAAGACAGGAAGGTTCAAAGTTGTAACCAGAGAGGCACAGAGGACCACATCACTCAGCACCCTCTTCCACTTTTGTCTCAATCCTCCCACGAGCCGCTGTCCGACCTGAGGTCCTTTGCTAACAAACACGGTCTGCTGGGTAAGGTAAAGTTCTGGTTGGAAGGAAGCCGTTTTCAAGTCTCACAGCAATCACACGGGAAAGGAAACGGCTGTGCAGGGCAAGCCAAAGTGCGTATTATTAGGGGTTCTTAGTTACAGCTGCAACGTTGAAAGACCGAAGCCATTTTGCCTGGAGAAGCTCAAAACAGGCCGGTCTGAACCGCACCATCTGTTCGGATAAATATATAAATCATCAGCTGCAGTTAATCAGAGCAAATAGTTATCCGGGGTCGGCACAACGCGGCCTCGGTTTTGGCTTCTGACAAATCGTGAACTCTGCTTTGCCCATTTCAAGCTCCCAAGTGAGGGCAGCCCCGGTTTGAACAATAAGCGAGAAACAACCTACTAAAAAACCCAACTGAATTTGAACCGCCTCCTTTTTTAAGGAGAAGCATGATTCAAATAGTAAATAAAGTCGTTGGAATGTCTGGATTGAAAATCAACAAGAATGCTGTGGAGGCCTTTCGAGCCTTCAGTGAATTAGATAGTTGTTTTAAAGCAATAATTGTACTTGTAGGATGCTGAAACCGCAGTGGAAAATTGCTCCGGTAAAACATATAAAAAGGGTACAGAAAATCTGAAACAGATGTCCACTCACAAAGCCCCACTACAGCACCTACTCACCAACAACTACCATGCAGGTAAAAGAAGAAAGCCAACCTACATGCGACCCTGCCAGCGGTGCGGCGAGGCCGACTATCAAACAGCTTTAATGTGGAAGTCAGACATGAAAAGTATAATAGGCAGTAGGGCGTAATTAAGCATGATCATCTGTGAGATTTCAAGGCCGCTTAGTTTTCTGTCTGCGACCCACCCTTGACCACTGGACCAGCATCCACTTCTCCAGACAGAGAGAGGATTTTGCTGGGACAAGCCTGTCCGTGGACAGGCCGGATCGGCTCCTGGCCGCTTTCCACTGGACCAGCGTGGTCAGGCGGTAGGCCTGGTGAGCGCAACAGTACCCAGCGTTTGGCTTTTGATAGGTTCAACCCATTGATCTGCGACTGCCTTCCAGCTCTAATGAATAATGAATGGGCGTATTGTCATCCCGCACAGATCAAATTTCACATGGCAACCGGCTGCGCTGGTAATTAGAAAGGACTTTGTTGGCCTTGAGCTCGCTGTGCTGAACTTGCCAGCCACTTTGGTGCACGGGAGAGTGAAAAGCTCCAAAATTTCAAGGGTATTTTACAGTGTGGCGACAAAGTTTTTCCACTTAGTACGCTGATCTGAGGCATGCAACAGAAATAGGAGGGTAAAAGGGAAGTGTTGTGTTAACTCTGGAGGTTGGATATCACCCAGGAAGACAGGAAAAGGAAAAGTGTACGACTAGTGATTTCACCTGAGACGCTGTTCATGGAAATTCAGTTCAGTTGGCTAAAGTCTTATCTGTGCCTTCAATGACACCTCTGGATATCAAAATTTAAATACAAATAGTCAAAGGGTAATACCATAAAAGGAGAGGATGATGAGCACCGGTCCACAACAAAAAAAGAGACTTTTATGATAAAAAAGGAGGCAAAGCCCCACGTAATGCCATGTGATGATGTCCAGCTGCCGCATGTTGCTGTGCAATGACTTCATTCTCATGCATCGTCCCGCTGCATGAAGGATAAACACACTTTCCTACTCTGGGGGGGGTCATTTATGACATGTTTAGCATGTTTTACAGCGGTTGCAGTTGTGTCAGGATAACAAGGAGCATTGCCTCAAATACATGGCAAACAAAGGCCAAATTGTGACCATGTATCCCAAAACCATCCTCCTCGAAGTGGGGAAAGTTATCTTTTTTTAAAGAAAGGAAACAGCCAAAATAAGTTCTTTGTCTGGGCGAGAGAAATAACGGCTCCAGAGTCACAGCATGGTGGAAAGAAACTAAGCTGGCAGACAAACTAGAATCAAAAGAACATCTTCAGGCATGTGAGAAATATTAAATACTTGAGCAGTCAACTTGCTCAGCAGCCAAATGAGCCTACAGGTCAGAACACATCTAATACATGCTTTAATACAATGCTTTAAAGCTTTCATTATAAACAAAGGAACTGCAGATTCCCAGAAATAAGAAGGGAAGTATCATACATAATTCAAACTCATTATCAATAATGTACATGATTAGTAAAAATAGAAAACAGTATGGCTGAACTGCACTTTTCCTCAGCAAAAAGCCTGATGAAAATTTGAATTATGAGGGGACTTGTTATTATAGCAGTCATTGAAATAAAAAAGATCTATAAAGCGTTACCATGTCAACAAGGCTTTTGGACATCCTAATTCTTGATTTCCTGTCCACGGTTCTCACTCAGGCCTTTTACTTCATAATCCTATTAAAAGGCAATATCAAGAGTTTTAGGCTACCTTTAAAACACGCTTGCTCGGCATTGGGCAGGGGGAGGGGGGTGTTGATGGGATAATGTCAGCATCAATGAATTTAATCCCAGGGAAACACCCTTCAACTGGCTGGATTTAAGCCCTTTCTCTTTCTCCAATTAGTCGATATTGGTTGAACTCTACCGTAAGAATGCAGCGGAAAACAAAGTCACTTCAGCTCGTGTAGAAAAGTCTTGAATCTAACACGTGGACGGCCTCATTATGACCATCACCACCGTCCCAGGTCATACAGAGGCCCTGACACAGTTCACATGAAAATCAAAGCTAGCGGAAGTAAACTAACAAAGAGGTTTTTGTTTCCGCAGAGCGGGCTGCAGACACTTTTACAGGCAAAACAAACAGAAGCTGAGAATATTTGGACGCATGTTTTTTAAGCGGCTGACAGATTTTCTGCTGAAAAGTTGGGAACAGTGTCCAAATGGTTTGGAAAGCGAGCTTGGGACTAAAGGTCACTGGTTAAGTTGGCCATGCGAAAGGCCCATAATAACCCCCAACTTTGCTAGTGCAGCTGCTCAGTCGTCTGCAAACAAGACTGCAGTTGTGCTAAGAAGCTCCTTAAATGTGAGTCACGTATTCCTGACAATGGGAGTTCATGATTAGAAAACACGCCTGTAGCAGTTACATGGACAGAGAAAAAAAAGACATCTTTACATAGTTTAATATGACTCTTCTTTGAAAAATGTGATAGAGAACAGTTACACAAGATTAAGAACCTGCAATTCAAACTAAAAACTAAGTCATCCCATTAGGTTAAAGATTCTGATCACGCTAACAGACTTCAGATTACACATAAAAACGCATCTAGTTTATGCAGAATGGATATTTGAGGTTGTCCTTGTGTTTGGTTAATTAAATGTTAACCAATTCAATCATATATGTGGCTATTCATGTACCATAACCCTCATGGTCAGCACGGTTGCATCTTTGGTCTCACACACTACACAGACAGAGGTGAAAGGTGTTGAGTTGACTGCCCTCCAAGGAACACTAAAACTAGATTAGGACAATGGCCTACATGATGCATATATGAGTGAATTACATTGTGTTAGCCACAAAACTGTGTTTCCTTACCTGCAACAGGTGCGTCTGCTGCAATCACTGTTATGAGTATTGTTAGTCCAAGAAACACCGCATGTTGGGCATGCAGAAGAGCCCTAAGAATCTTCGCCCAGCGCAAAGCGGAGACTAAAGCTGCCATGGTGCGGCGGTGTTAGGGTCGGGGCATTTCATCCGGTGGAGAAGAGACGATTCATTGCAAAGAGATGACCAGTGGTTCGGGTTATATCGGGATGCTTAATATGGTCCTTTTTTCTTTATGGCCCTCTCCTTCCATAACAGGTCATTTCAGTGGAGAATGTCTGTAGGGAAATAAAAGCAAATAAGTGTGACTCTCAAAGACAAAATTCTGCCATCAAGAGGGAAAACAACAGGCTCATAAACATGCATTAGTCATGAATCTGAATCTGCGCTTTCCATAGCTTCTTCTAAAACAAATAAGAGTTAATCTGGACAAGGGGTGATCTGGAAGTTAAATGAGAATAGAAAAAAAAATCCTAAAATCAATTCTCAACGCATACTCACATACATGTGCGCACACGATTGGAGCCAAAGCTTATTCATGCTCGCGGAAATATATATAATTATATTGTAATAATAAAGCTAGCATCGGTCAAATCAAATCAACACGGATGATATATGTCATCGGGCAGCCTCCCAAACTTAGTTTGCACGAAGAGGACAGTGATGTGGTGTAGTGTGATCGATGGGGCAGCAGCACGGAGCCCCCCGGTGTGTGTGTGGCTAGCTCTCCGCCGTACGCCGTTATCACGACCCGGTCTCTTGTCCTACATCCCGTCCCGTTACTCGCGAGCTTAACGGTCATGCGGCTCTTCGCAAAGCTACACGTAGCGGGTTACGTCTCTCCTTTGAGTGTCCCTGCACAAAAAAAACGCTGAGCTCTGACTAGCAAACGGACTTTGGTGATACCCGCCAAAGCCAATAGATACAGCGCAGATAAAACGTTTTTTTTTTCTGTCGTCCCCTCTGCCATTCTTCTCCGCCAGCTCATAGCTGCGCACTCAGACTTACCCCCCAAAAAAGCGGAGCTCCGACTCACTCAGTTCCTTTGAGGAAAATACCCTTTGGTGTAATGAAATGGTGTCTGCAGCTCTGTCTTCAGCCTTCACTTGACCACCTGCCGACGTCTGAAGTTATTTCAGCGGAGACGTGCAGCCGCAGACCTGGAGGTTGCTTTAGATCTGATACTCTCTTGGTTAACTGTTACCTTCTCTTGTCCTGAGGATTGGGTTAGCCCCGCCCTCTGAGCGATCTGATTAGTTTCTAAATTAGCCAGGCCCACTGTGATTGGCTGAGTAACTTTTCTGTCAGGGTGGGCTTTTGACATTAGGTTGGTCCCCCTCGCCTGGCGTCTGCGGCTTCCACGGCAACGTTGCCTCATGTAGTGATGCGCCCAAAGACTCATAGCAGTTCTTTATCGGGTTAATAGGATTAACATTAGAGTGAAACTGAGTTGAACCTTTCAAAAAATTATTCACGATACGTTTTCTTGTAAGGTTTTTAGAGGATTCATTAGTGTATTGCTGTATCCTACTTCGGACACTTCCTGTGTTCAATTGGACATTTCCATCATTATTTCTAGTTGACAGCCATAAGACTTAAATCGGGACCCCGTTTTTTTTTTTGCTGCCCAACACGTTTTTAAGAGGGAAACGTTTAGATAATTGACCAATTCATTTCAGCATAAAAACATCACGCATTTCATGGGTTTGTGCACGTAAAGGAAATGATATAATCAGCACCCCAATTTCAACTTGTAGATATTTTGGTGCACACTGCCCTCTAGTGGTCGTGCAGAGTGCGCTAATTTCATGACCAGCAGTTTTAACTGACGCTATTGTTACTTCTCATAAAGCTACATTTCTGCCAATTAATTAAAGTTGAAAAGAGCTTTCTTTTTTTTTAAATTCCACTCAATCTTATTTTAGTCATACCACTGTTTTGTCCTAAAAGCTGAACATTTCTTACATATTCATATTGCATCATATCAAGTTTTCTAGAATATGTAATGTACAGTATCATCAACCCATTTTTAAAGCATCAAAATGGCCCTGCTTTTCCTAACCATAACTATCAAACTCTTAAAACAAACAAACCAGTAAAAAAAGGGTATTCTATCATTTTCAACCAATGTTATTTTCATGCCAGTGTAAAACAATACATTGTGGTCTGTTTCTCCATTTTAAAGATAATGTGGGTTATTGTGGGGCCCCTGCTTAGTGGTGGAATAGTAATTATCCCAAATACATTTTGCTGTTTGAAAAAAATTTGTTTTTGCACAGACAGAATTATAATGAACTGTATTTTTTTTATTGAGATGAAAAATGAGGAGTTCCGTTACGGCTGGTAAAGTTCTCACAAAGACATGATGAGCCTGGAAAAGTGTGCAAAGTTAGAGGAAAAACAACATTCTCATTCTCATGCGTTGGAGAGCTGCTGCACTTTCAAAATGGGGTCTCATTAAACATTAAACTGAATGAAATAGATAGATTTAGAAATTGTATTAATGAAAACATATTGACCTCTCATGTAGTTTTTCCATGCTCCAGGCCATTTAATCAGGAGAATTTATTCTAATATGTTACGCTGGTGATTTAAGAATAACTGTAACTGACTGCCAAACTAACCATAACATCATGTGTCTTTCATTACATAGCATATTCTGGTCTTTCTGAGTACTATTGTTATGGAGCAATCTGAAGCAGAAATGCACACACTATACGCCGCAGCAGAAGACAGGAGCCTGGTGCAGTGACTTAACAGTTTAATGTAAATCCAAGACAAAGTGTGATTACATTTTCTACACATATACAATATGCATATGTGAGCATACAAATTCTCATTAATAACTCGATTCACCTCGGAGACCGAAAAAATGATCAAAAGTAACAGTGAATAACAAGCTATAACATAGTTCACCACAACGCAAGCCCCCTCTCACCCTACAGTTAGTAAAGAGGACAAATAAAATAACTATACTCTATTTGATGAAGCTGTTTGTTGGTTAAAACCCTCCTGTAAAATTTACAATGTTATTATTAGTTTTTTTCGAAGCCTAATATAAATTCACTCAATTTTTCTACAACGAAAATGATTAAGAGAAGCACACAACATCATAATGGAAACACAAGTGCTTAGTAGCAAGTATTCAACTTGTTAGGAGGTTTAATTAATCCTTTTTCTTATTGTCATTATTATATTTATTTAAACATTCTATAAAGCCAGTAAAATATCCATTCTTATAACATACTTGATAATATTAGGCTAAGGAACAGGGTATACATAGAACGCTACATCAACAGATTGAAATAATGAGACATCACACTCCGAGAAAAGCAAAAGTAATTAAGAAAAGACAATAAACAGAGAAGTATACTAGGAAATACTGCAGCACACATTAGCTTCATTGACAAAGAATGAGATCTTACAACATTGAGAAACCATACAGCAATGGACACAAAAGGGGGGTCAGGGTTTGATGCTCTCTTAGGTCCTTAGAAATGTTTTCATTAATCATAAGTATCTTCATACCTATTTACCACTTATCTACAAATTTTCTGTTGTTGAATAGCCCAGACTGGACAGTGACTCATGGACACGATCTCTAGCTTCATCTGGGAATTTCTGTGGTGATAAAAAGACAACACGGCCTTGGCGCATGTTTGTTCTACCACATCCAGGTTACATTTATCACCACCATAAAATAGCTCCTTTTAGCCAAACATTTGACATCTGAAATATGAAACCACATGGTTTTAAGTTCTCAAATCTGGAGTTGTATTGCTTAGGACATAGCAGGTAAAAACAATTGCTGTCTTGAGAGAATTTAATGACAGCTAAAGATACCAGGAAATCATACTTGAATCAGTTTTGGTTCTTAAATTCATATGTTGCAATAGGATGACCCCCCCCCCCCACACCCCTACCACTGATGGCATCAAACCATGACCACCCCACCCTGAATTCCCCAGAGGAATAGCCAGCAAAAGGAGCAGATCCCCTTAACAAAGGTTAAATAGAACAGAAGAAAAAAAAAAGTATTTTCCAAAAGGGCTTTAAGAATGCTTGTGAAATTAGGTTGTGAATTTTATCTTGACTGACACTTAATCAACATACAATTTAGCCACCTCCCACCTGCCTGTAACTCCTTTGACTTTGGGAATCACTGCGGCTTCGCTGACCAGTTTCTGCAACGAAAAGTGTCGCAGGCGGTCTGTTCACTTGCTACGCTTCAAGTCACCTCATAGGAGTTTGTTTGAGGGTGATTTATGTAGCACTGTGTTTCATGCGCTCAGGAATGTTTCTGAGTGTTTCCAAAGCTTCAGGAAGAGTAGTTTGCATGATAACAGTAAAATTGGAAGTTTGAGTGCATTTCACAGGAGAACAACAGGCTTCATATAAAGAGATGGAGATGCTGCCTTTTTTTTGTTTTTCTCTAATTCAAATGTCCCCTTAAAGCTTTGGAGGTATTGTTGGTTATTTGGAAGGCAGTACTTAACAATAAAGTTCCAAGCTGGGAAGGCGATACTCACCTCAGCAACGCTGACATTTTTACACACTACTTAAGCACATTTTGGTAATTGTAAGGTCACTCGATCTACATTAATGCTCACATTTCTGATTCCCCTCTTTTATCACAAAACACAAGAAAAATGCTTATGTGAAACAGAAAAAGACAAAATGTATCATACACATCAAGCTATTTTCCACAATGTTGAACATACAGGGTTTATCCCGACAGGATGTTTCAATAACTACATTGGATATCCCCCAACTACAAGTAGAGTGGCAATTTTACATAATCATTCTCATATTGGGTTTAGCTGGAGTTCAGATGTATAATTATTGCATCATGCGTGGCCACAAATGGTAAAAAATTGAACTAGATGGTCACCCACTGGGAAAAGATCTAAAGCCATTTCAAATGTAGTCGGGTTACATATTACATTCATTTTTTGCAGATGACCATGTTTTTAAAGGTATGGTTGGTACATCTTTGATTTATTTATTTGACAGATCATCTATTCCATGGCACACTATTGTGAAACAAGCTTTTACTTAGGACACTAATAAAGCTAAAACATCATCAACAGAGAAATAACTGGCTTTTGAAACAATTTGGACAGAGGCTAAATAACATTTGAAAATAAATCCAGTCTGAATTGGGGCTAGGAAGGAGGAATATTGAAAACAAAACTGGAAAAAAGTCTTTAAAACAAATGCAACTCTTTTCATAGCTTCCATACACACAGAGTTGACTGTGCTGTATGCATGATGTGTTAACTCCTCACTGTGCATTTTGTATGTTCTTCACATATGTGCATGTCATGGTGGTAAAACAACACATCCTTAAAAGCACTTGTTAAGCCATTAAAGATGAGGCCAGAGGTTATTGCCTGTCTGCTCTGGCAATGATGTGGAGGACTGTTTGCACCGTACTAGACTGTGCTGTGCTGTACATGGTCAACCTGTTATAATTCTTTGGTGGGACGAGCAAAAAAGTCTGAGTGAGACAGCACTATTCCCACACTGACAGGAGAAGGGACAGGACAGCAGTGTACTGTAGCATGGGTCATGCTATATTCCCTCAAACAGTGGAATGTTTCAGTAGTTTGTTTCTTAACAGAGGAGCCAAAAAGAATCCAATGGAAAATCATATCCCTTATATGTGTGTGTGCTTAGGCCTTAATGACCCACAAGAAATTAAGTAGATAAAATAGAATAAAAGGAAAAAAAAAAGTGAACATAGACAAATGATGTAACTAGCAACACACTATGTAATCACATCTTCAAGTGCCTGGAGCCAAGGCTTTCATGCTGGAGCTGATAGGGAGTGGAGAGTTTTTGAGGAGAGTACCAGGATGAAAGACAACTCCAGGGGCCCATCAAGGGACTGTTGGATTTCAAACCTGGGCGTTGCACCCTCAAGCTAAATCAGTATTTATAAGGGCCCCAGTGGATTATCATCAACTCACCACTTTCTATCCTCAGCAGTGTTGCAACACTTTACACAGGTGTACTCACCTCCACAGAATACTAAATATTACTTTACAACAACCCCCAGGTTACAAAATAGAAACGAGCCTGACATATAATAAAAACACACTCACACTTTGATAAAACATCCACAAGAATTATTGCAACAATCTCTAAAAATAAACACAACATGTACTACAGCCATGTCATAAAGTTCAAGATAATGTTAAGTTAAAAGGAAAAAAAAAATCACTTCAAATGCAAGTACTATGGCATAAGATGCAGGAGAGGGAAAAGGCTTTCACTAAACCACCAGCAGTACTGATGTGCCCATGTTCAACAGGTCGAATGAACAGAGGGGCTTATTTGTATTATTGGCTACAAGATAATGAAATCTGTCAAATCAAGCAGCAAACACACAAAGCAACAGCCCTATCGGTTTTTCTAAGTGTTCGGGTATCCCGTCTGGTTGGCGTGGCGATGTCTGTGGTGTACCTGGTTTCGAAGACGAACGGACAGTGGCAACAAACCATTCACAAGGCGCCCTTTCAGGTGTATGCTGTTCTAATTCCCTCCTGATTTCTTCCTGCAGCTCTGGGATGCTGCACAAACTTTGATAAATTAACCTCCAATTATCCTCATTAGAGTAAAACGAAACGGCAACAAAAGGAAAAAAAAAACAAACAGACAAAGAGACAAAAGAACTCATGTCATTTTTTGAAGTGTGCATTCAGGTGAGGTAGTGTCCGTGAGGCCTCTACCAACCACCTGGGCTCAGTGTTACTATCGACCTGCTCATTACCAACTTACTACCATTTTAGTCCCATTGAATATAGAGAGTTTTCCTCCCTAAACTGACCCTACGCCTTCAACCGGTCCCTTAACTCATGCCTACACAGTATCTCTCTCAAACACTGCTTCATGCTCCGTCTCTTTGCTGCAGCCAGGCTATGTCTGGCCTCACAGAACCACCCTCATGGCAACAATCACTTTCTGTCAGGCCCTTCTCTTGGACTAGCTCTTAACCTTGAAAAGAGACAACCTCTATTGTGTCTCAAGCTTTATACTGTAACACATACCTTGAACATGAAAACTGAGCTAGAATTTTTGCTCTCTATTCACAACACATATTTTTTTACTCGTGTGATCAAAAGGAACAAACATATTTCTAATTACAGCCATGTTTCGGGTGCCACTGTGAAAGAGGTTTACAGCTACAGTTAAAACTGTACATTTTCATATTTACATAATTTACTGGAGCAAATGTGACAAGAATTTATCTAGAACTTTGGTTAAGTACCCCAGGCAAGTTATCTCATGCACACATAATAAAAAAAGCTCAGCGTGATATCTGCTCTGATTTTAATCTTTGTCATCTATGGTATGCTGTAATTATGGGCAAGAAACAGCGAGGGCAGAGCCTACACCTGGAAGAAAGCCACAACTGCCCTCTGATTAAGATGTCAAACCAGGGGAAACATGTCTCACTATGTATAGCTATAGTCTCTTGTGGCTTTCAGGATCCAAGCCAAGTAAACTGTGTCGTTAAATCTGTAAGGCACTACTAGGGAACAATGGTTAAAACCTAAAGACTGAAGAGGATTTTTGAGGAGATGGACTACACACGCATGGCTGACAGTAGCACACACAGACAATCACGTTGTACATGCCTATGTTATTATAACCACTTTGTGCAATCACACTGAAAAAAGCGGAAGAAATCAATCTATTGGTATCAGGAGAGGAAAAATAAAACAGGTGCAGACTGCTACATTCTAAGAACGGGGCCCAGCTAAGACACCTAGCTAAAACTGAAGTATCATAAAGGTGAAACATAAAGGAAAAATATCTATAAATACAATAAAAAGTTTGTTGTCTTCTGTTGGTTATATTTCCAGTGACCTCCTCTGCTGGAGAAGGGTGGAGTGGGCGGAGTTGCCTCTCTTTTCTCCCCACACCATGAATGATTTGGAAATACTAAGACAGTTCAAGGCCATCATATTTTTTTTTCTTTGAAGAGCAGCAGGTTTCCGTATTTCACCTTGTCCCAAATCCTTTGGGATTCCAGACTTCCAGTCAGTAACCCCTGTTCAACAGTCACTTCCCAAATATATGAGGGGAAATAAAAGAAAGCAAATCCAAAAAATCTCCACTGTCCCAAAACGCTGGCTTCAAACTTCCCTGTAAAACTAATTAAACATTTTTTTTTTTTTCTAAAAAGTGAAGCAAAGAGTAGGCAAATAAAAGCAAAAAAAACTGGCCCTTTTAAGAGAAAACATGAAAAGAGAACTTGAACTGTGCCCCTCTGAAATTCAGCAGCCTCCTTTCCCTTCTCGAGAGGCTGTGAATAGTATTTTTTCTTCTTCTCTCCGTTGTTGTTTCTTCAAGTTATACGTGACAGTTTCATGAGGATTGCATGTTCCTCTGTCTCTGTTTATGTCTGAGGTCGAGGAGAGGATGTTCAGGATGTGGATGGGGGCTCGGGACGGGGGGAGGACGTGAGGGAAGCAGCAGCGCCGGGTCGGGCTCTCCAGTGTCGGTCAGTCTAGAGGTAAGGATACTGGTTCACCTTGGTGGGGCTCAGCGGGTATCCAGTGTAGACGGTGGAGGCGGGCGAGGCGCTGATGTAGGCCTGGTGGGCGAACTGGGCCGGATACTGGCTGTGGTGCAGGGTGGGCGAGGGCAGCACGCGGTGGCCCATGCTGACCGGGACCTGGTGGACGATGCTCGGGGGGTAGCTCCCGTGCTGGACCGCGTGGCGCGCCGAGCCCTGCGACGCCACCAGGTGGGCCACGGTGCTGGTGGAGCCCAGGGCGGCCGGGGTGGCGTAGGTGTAGAGGTGGGGCTGGCTGGGCAGGTGAGTGGCCGCCAGGTGCGGGTGAACGTTCCCGGTGTGAGAGGGGCTGTTGTGATGGAAGGAGTACGGGGCCTGGGGAGCGATGTTGGGGGTGATGTAGGCCTGCTGGCGCCGGTGCGCGCCATTACGCTCAGCTACCATGTGCTGCTGAGCCTGGAGGATCAAACGACAGAAAGATTTTGTTTTGTTGGTGAACTGTTAAAAAAAACTGAGATGAGACACACAGTTTTGCTCGCAGTGATGGTTCAGGTGTGGTCATACCTGGCTGAGATTGAGAGGTTGCTGCTGAAGTGGGTGTGGCCCTGAGCGCTGCTGTCGGTAGGACCCGCCTCCAGTCACCCCCCCTGGTATGTGACCATTGCCAGATACCACTCCATTGGAGGATTTAAACTTATAAGAAGAGTTCTGATGATTTACTCCATCTGTGCAGGAGAAAAACAGAGTTCTGGTCAACTCGAAAACTTTGACAGGAAGTAAAAAAAAAACAAACACAGAAATCAGACCTGTGTGATGTTTTATTTAACTGGTCAAAAACGGAAATTGTGACACTAAGAAGGATCATTTTCAGTCATCTTTGCATTTCTGCATCTATCACACTCCACGTCAGGGGGCACAACGCGGAATAAGTGAGCATTTAGACTTTATCTGTCACCTCTTACAAGCAGTAATAATTTGCATCAAGGAATACTGATTGTTATTGTCCTCAAAGGAGAAAAACTTTCTAAAAGAGAGGGGAAAATGGAGTCAAAATGGTCACCTTAGCCATAAAGGGACTACTTTATAAATAAAGAGCTGAAAAGCTCTGCTCTGCCCTTAATATTTAAAAAAAGAAAAACAATTTATTCTTTAGGGAACTACGCCAACTTGAAAAAAGAGGATTTATCCTTCAGTGCTGCCGATAAAAACATGTCGGCTATTAGCTAATGCAGAGGGCGACGCCTAGGAAAGGCGGCGTCCTTTACCTGGCATCAGGCGCTCACATTCATTTGGGACCTCATTGTTCTGTGTTTTCAGAGGGGGGATGATGATGGTGCGGGGGTTGCCGTTATTGTAATTGTCCAGGATGGTGGTCTTTGTATCGTAGCTGTTGTTGTTGGGGGGTCTTGATTCCAGAGTGTAGGGGCTGTTGTTGCTTGAACAGTCTGACTCTGGTGAATCATGGACTGTCACACAACTGATAACATTCTTCCTCTGCTTAGAAGACGAACTGCAGAAAAGAGGAAGGGAACCGAGTGAATGGAGTTGTCCTGAATGTGAAATCAATTTGTATGAGCATCATTTAAAGCCATTTTAGATAAGTAGCTGGTGTTTTGTTTACGCCACAGGGGGAAATTTCTATTCCTACATCACGGGCAGAAATGAAACTGTAATAAATACTGCACAAATAGGTACATACATTTCCCACTTCCACTTTAACAGTCATCATATGACCTCAGGCAAAATATTGACCGAATGCAGACATGTATTTCTGTGAGGTCAAAGCCTCTGTCTTGTTTTTACAAAGTATATATTTCTGTTATTCTTATCATCACATCTGTTCACTCCAACTTTTTTTTTAATAGCTTATCGTAAGGTGTTGTCATTGACTGATAACAAACTACTCTGGAAACTCAGATAACATTTTCTGATTTTACATTTCCTTTTCAAGCTGATTCAAAGCAGAAGCACGCCATGAGTTTAAAAAGTGTTTTCGTTTGTCTTGGCTGATCTAAAATTGCTGCCCGTTCTAAGTCGTAACAATAATGACAGCCTTGTCATCAATCGGAGTCGTCTAATAATACCATGAAAAGCACGGCAACCCTCTCAAACTCCTCAAAACTGACCCATTGTTTTGCTTCTGGTCATCTTCCTCGTCTGTGTCACTGCTGATTGTGATGATGCTGACCGCGGGGCTGGGCGTGTCGGGGATAATGATGGTCTGCCTGGGGACATGGTGCTGGTGCTGATGGTCGCGCGTGGTGCTGGAGGCTTGCTCTGCCTCATTAGCCCCCCACCCTATGCCCCCACATCCCTGAGCGGGTGGGCAGTTGGATGCCGAGCCATTCTGTAGCACGGCGCAGCGCGGGGGCGTGTTCTCCTTCACCCGCTTGGAGCGCTGCGGGGACAGCACCACTTGAGACGATGACACCTCGTAGGCTGACGCGTTCCTTAGGCAGAGAGACAGAGATGGAGGGTGAGTGATTACGGAGAACAAGTTCACTGATGCTGAAGTTTCAAGACTGTAAAGTGAGGAAAAATGAGCTGTGGTGTTGGTTTTTAGCTGACATGGCGACAATTTACAACCAGTCTCGGCAGACCATGATGTGTAAGTACCTGGCAGACATCTGATGCTGTTTGTTCTTTTTGGAAGAGGAGTTGTTATTGGATGTGGGCTGCCTCATAACATGTGCCACTCCCACATTGAGCGTCTGGTTGGATGGGAGCGTGACGTGGCCAGCCAACAAGGCCGGCTGCTGCATGATGGGATTATAATGGCTGCCATGCGTGTGGGAATTCCTGTAATATAAAATCATTTGTTGGTATACGGAAATCGATAAGAAACAGCAAATAAATTGTAAGTGCACAAACATTTTAGATTCATATCAGTTGCTGCAATCTGAGATTGATTGGGAATAGCAGAGATGGAGAATGCATTTCCCTCAGAGGCCAATAGGTGGCAGCAGCTAACTTTTCTAGAGAAATTAAAAGGCGACAGGATGACACGGAGGGAGCAAAAAGGGAGGGCAGAGGAGCTGACACCAGCAGCTGTGGAGCGATAGCTCTGCAGAGGGAGTGCGACACTTTTCCAACCTGTTCTCTGAGGACTACAGAGTTGCCACTGGACAGGAAGGAAGGGCGAGACAAGGATGGGGGAGTCTAGTCGTAGACGGACATCTCAGAATAAATCTAAGCATACATCGCCCAGCAACCCTCCATGCACAGATATTATGAAACTGCTTACCCCTTATCTCCAAGCAGATAGCCTGCATCCACCTATCCATTTATCAAGTTGTTGCAGTGACAAGCTGGACGCTAGATGATGTCCCCAGATGTACATACATCCCCTCTTGTCAAAATAAATATGTTCTCATAAAGTAATGGCTTTTAATTGTTGCTTTTATCTATTCATCCGACTAATTCCTAAAGAGAAAAAAGGGTTCTCTGTTTTAAAAGTTAAAGCAGTGTCATTGACCTCCAGTTGGCGAGAGTCTGTGTGCTGCCCATGGAGTCGGGGATGACCGCGGCATGCTGGACTGAGGTGTGGGTGAGCTGCTGCCATGCTGGAGGTAGCAGGATCTGCTGGGTGCCGCTGGGCCAGGCCTGCTGTGGTAGGAGAAGGCAGGGTGGGGCATAAACACAAATACAAAGGTCAGAAAAAGGAGACACAAAATAACAGCTGGCAGGTAATAAAATGTCATAAGATTCTAACTAATTTCACAAAATCAATCTCAGACATTTACCTGGGATTATGTGTTTGTTCTCTTTTTCTTCTTTTTGTTCAAACTAATTAATTTAGCTGATTAGTTTGGAGGTGTTTTGATAAAGCACAATTTTATTTCAAAGGTACATTATATCTTTTGAATAGATAAAAAACATTTTTAGACATCCCTCTAGGGAAGATACACTGTATAAAGATACAGCAGTAATTTATCTTTGCGTTAGCATTGAAGAGAGTAAGCACATGTATGTGCAAACTGTGTGTTTTTATTGTGACTCTGTGTCTGACTGAGTCAAACCAGCAATCTGATTACAAGCTCATGCTGTTCAAGCGGCTCAGTCAGAACAGGAGGACTACTCAGTACAATGTGCCCCAAGACGTGCCGAGATGAGTGCATGCGTGCCTGAACACACTTGTGTGTTACTGTGCGTGTAGACCTTAATAGTTTAATGCAGTTCTATTGATTAGCACTTAATGTGACGGCTAATTAATAGTTTCTCTAGTACTGTTTGCAGCTATCGTGTACAGACAGCAGCTTTACTTTCATCACTACCATCACCTAATTTTTGTTATTAAGGCTTGCTTTGCCCTTTTGTTTTCCATTAACTCTAACACAAAGTAGCTCCTCTGTTTGATAGCCTGAATGCATGATTGTAGGAATGTTTTTTTTTTTTTTTGGTCTATGGGATGCTGCAGAGTCCAGCACCACAGGAGGGCATCTGTGACACTGGACCCTGTGAAAGGGCTGCCTTGTCTCTAAACTGATGACTGACATCTCTAATGGAACATTCTGAAGACGGAGATGGTCTTTACATCTAAGACCACATCCAAGGCCTTTTATCAACATGCCATTTAGAGACTCTAATACATCCATCTGACTCTTGCTCCTCCTCCTCTCTGCCCTATCTCCATTCCTGGCACTCTACATGCCTTTCTCACCAGGCGTCTGCGTTGTGTAACCAGCCTGTCTGCCCTGAAATGGTAACCCAGTTAAGAGGTTGTTTTCTTTCTTCTCGTCTACCATCACTATCAACTGCCCACCGTCTCCCACCATGACCTACACTCTCTGGGTGAAAGCCCTTTGTCACCTCAGGGCTTACAAAGCCCAACCTCTCACTCCCCAATTGTTTCCACATTTTCTGCATTCCTGATCCAGATAAAAGTCCTACTGGTTTCCCTTCCTCCCAGCTTGGAGCCTCCTTCGCTGGTCTCTTTCTATCTCTCTCTCTCTGTGCAGCCAGGTACTGGGTGGTTAAACTCAAATACATCCAATGTGGACAAGGGTGCATGGGTGACAGTGAACAGTTAATGGACCAAGTTGCAGAACCAAGAGTCAACCAACACTCAGTCACGTCTGTGAGACCTCCCACAGTGAAGAAACAAATACAGAGAAGCACAAACAAAGAGTTGCAAGTTAGGAGCTGAGCTGTTCTGCTTATGTTAACCATTACATGTTTGTGTTTCGGATGCATGCACACAGTAGTTACAACACCTGCAGAGCCTGGGGGAAATGCGCAATACACAATGAAATAATTTGAAATAATTTAATAATTTAATTTAATTTTAAAATAATTTTACCTTATTTACTATTATTATTTTTTAAATCTATTGTGTTATTGGATCTGATGACACAGTCAGCTCTCTGGCTATGATTTGAATCAGTCAAGCTTCTCTCTACCTCTAAGGATGTGTGGAGTAATTTGGAACGCCTGACTTGAATGCAGCCGTGAGCTAATCGCCATTTGGTATCTGACAGATTAACCCACCACAGAAACACAGGCATGTGCACAGGGACACATGCAGGGCTTTGCTGCTTGCCTGTCTGCCTACTGGATGATTAACTGGAGATAAGGGACCACTTCAAGCTCCCTGGATTCTCAGGGATATTTTAAGGCCTCACAGAAATGTCCACGGGGAAAAAGATGTGGTGGCAATGGAAGCCGTCTGCATTCGGCATGTGTGCAAAGAAAGTGATGGGCAGTAACGCACTGTTCATGCAACAACGGTGTGTTAGCTTCTAAAATTCTGGCCACATTGAGTGAGTGCAGTTGAAGGCCTTCTCTGTGTGAGTGACTATTCCCTTTGAGTGCATCAGACCGTGGCAGCCTCTGCCTTCAGGAGAGCTGGGTCGGTGGGGGTGAGACGGTGGTGATGCACAGGAAAGGTTGCCTGAATGCACTCAGGAAGAAACAGCTGCCAGCAGCGGCAGGGCCGCGGAACACTGAGGATTTCAGTCCTCCATCGATATATACTATTCTTAGTGAAGGGCTTATGAAAAAAGAATGCGGGTAGCTTTGTTTGAATGTGAGAGGTTCAAAGTTCAGGAGTGTTTCTGACAGGCGATGTTTTTGTTGAGATCCAAATAACTGTATCAGCTCACCCTCTGTGACATGTGAATCCCTTCTTACCTGTGTAAGGAGGCCGGGTTGAATCTGCAGAGGCTGGGCACCAGGGGCCTGTGTCACTATGGGAACAGCGTTCTCCATCCGCACAGAGTAACTGGTGTGCTTGGAAGGTGATGCCTGCAGCCCTGTGCATACAAAAAAGGATGTGCACCATATGTGTTAGCACAAGGAAGTATAGCAGAAGCCCGCCATATATAAGTCACTGTTCACAAGCATGCTACAGCATCTATGGAATCAACCCAAAGAGATCAGTCTATTTACTCTATATTCACCAATTTACTGCAAAATCATCAGAATGTATGCTTGTCCTGCTTGCCATTCAAACAAACACTAATGAGAAAAAGCTTCCTTACCTTGGAAACCTGGTGGGCAGACTATGAGTGCCTGCTGGAAGGGGTCAGGCCGGGCGGCGCAGAGCTGAGGAGCCCCCGGCTGCAGGGGCATGCTCCTCTGGGCCACAGCTGCCATGGAGGCAGCGGAGGGCTGGTAGAGTGCAGATTGGTAGTTAAGTATGGAGACATCAGGACTTGCAAAGGAAAGGGTGGCATTGTTGGTGGAGGAGGGAGCCAGGTTGGTGGCCTAAAGGAATGGTGGGACCAAAATAAAAATCATGAGGATGGAGGTACAGATGGGAATGTCAGGGAAGTGGTGTCGGTCCAAAGAGCGAATGCAGAGTAGTAGGCAAGGTAAAAAAAACACAAAGATAGCAACCTTCTGAGAAAAAAAGGAAGGCATAGAGGCACATAACAAACGCAAGGCTGAAAGAACGGGTACAAAAGATTAATGAAAGCCAAAGGAAGAAAAAGCGGAAGTGGCCTTAAAATATGCAGATATTTGATTTGATTAATTAGAGGGAGAAAATACAGTGTGAGGGGAGATGCAATCAGTGCTGCAATTCTCAGAATAATCAACCATCAGAGAGCAAAATGCAACTTAATGAAATTATAACAAATAATTTACGACATGTGCTGGCATACAGATTCACAAACGTCATGCATACAGACCACAGGAGCATGAGCATCACTCTTATCATTACTATACCTAAATGTGGAGTTAAACATCTTGAATGATGATCTTTTAAGTAAATTTGTAAATGTTACAGAATAATTGTGAGCATGTTCAATCAAACTGCAGCTAAATTAGACATTTCATGTCATGGCTTCACTATTTAGCCTGTAAATTAATTATACTTCACGTGTCAATATCAAAATGGGAAAACACAAGCTTAGGAATCTTTAGCAGCACACTTTGAGCATCAATAAGACATGTAGAACACTAAGACCACCTGGGAACATCTCAGATACAAACAAATGCTTTTAAGAGAAGCCACTGCTTTCAGCTTGTAAGTAGTACTTGCTCCATGAGATGCAGTCTAATTTTAGACTTGTTCATTAGGTGTACGTGGGTGAAGAGGGAATACATAGACAACGCTTTCATCTTTCATTTGCTCTTTTTAGCGAGTTTGATGAACATCAAGAGGGAGAACATAATCAATACGGCACAGTGGCACTCATCAAAAAAAGAGCGTGAAAGCAGCAAAATGCAAGCCAAAGATGCTTTCCAGCTTCGCAAATGAATCGAGCTGACTAAATCACCAGTGTCTGTCTACATGCCCTGAGAGTATGACAAAGAAAGGGCAGGCTGGAGGAATGTTGATCCATTTAAATCACATCAAAGACTGGCTTTTTGTCACACACCACTTAGTAGGAGTTGGCTCAATATATTTGTTGATAGAGGAATCTGTTTACTAAAGAGAAGCGTGGTTGGATACTGCAGGAGTTGTAACTATGCTCAATCTGGAAAAAAAAAACTTGCAACCAGACATTTGGTGATTCCGGAAGAAGCCAAAAGTCAGCAGTTTCGATTCACAGCCCGCGCGGGAATGAAGTGGGAAAGCGCCACAGGCTCAACCCAGGGAAAAAGAAGAGAAGACAGAGAAGGATAAGAGTGAGAGGAGGGGGGAAAGAGAGGAAGCCTGGTAAAGGGATTCTTAAGGCCTGAAAGCCCCAGAATGCAAGGCAAGCAGGAAGTGGGGCTTGTCATGTGTGTAATCAGCACTTTGTGACAATCCCACAGGACCTGGGGCACAGACTGAAATGAAGGCAGACAGATATAAATGCACTAAGGCAAAGAGGCGGGCCAGTAAGCTTGGAGATGTGCAGAGAAACAGAAATAATGGACAGCAAAATAACACATGAAGGCACAAACCGGCTGCTAAGCTGTTTAACCAATACCCAAACAAAACGCATTGTTCGGAATTTTTAACTCCGGCAAATGTATATCCCCGGTGATGGTAAGAGCTGTTTAAATCAAGTCAATTTAAGTCAATTTCTTCTGTATGTTATACTTTTTTTTCACCCCAGCTGCGTGAGTTTGAATATACAGCAGATCATATTCATGGTAATAAATTCACTGGAACCTACCATGAAAATACAATAAACCGCAGCTAACCTCATTTACATACTTCTATCTGACAGCACAGAAGTGGTTTCCCCACAGCAAACTGATGAGAGAATTTCTTTTTTTCCACCCTCACCTGGCTGTGCACAGTGTTCAGCTGGTTGTTGAAGGTCATGGTGAGGTTGGTGGAGGTGCTCGGGGCCACGTGGGTGATAAAGGGTGTCTTGCTCTGGTTGACCGTGTCATACATGTTGACGCGACGCTTGCAGATCTCCATGTTTTGGAAGCATGACTTCACACTTGATACACACAAAATGAAAGAGACAGAAGACTCAGTTAGCCGTGTGTTTGGTGATTGCCTAAAAACTGACTGACTGTCTGAATGAAGCACATACTGTGTGCTATGTGGGAAATCGAGGAGATGTGACATGGTAACAAAGGGGTGATTAAGCGTTTCAATAGGGGTGATCCTCTTGTCTGCGTCAATGGTTAGCATCTTGGTTAACAAATCGATGAATTCCCTCCTGTCGGCCTTCTCTGCCAGCATGTCACTGCCCTCCAGGTCTGACGCCATGTTCACCTACAGGCAGAAAACAAACACACAAGCATCTAAGCATTTTCAAACGCTTATTCAGGGGCTGATGGAACACTCGGGGCCTTTCATTCTCCAACAGATGACAGAAGACTTTCTCCCACAGCCTATTCCCATGAAGGGATCTATTAATACACACAAGGCCTCATAAGTTAGGGTGTCAGAGTGTGTGTCACAGAGCCTAGTGATAACCTTGCACCTTGGTGTCATTATAAACATTTGCACATGTATTCATAGAACCACTTGAAAAATTTCCTGGCGCCTTCACTGAGATTTTATCTGTCCCTGAAATGTGAAAACAACCAAAAACCACCAACCCAGTAAACACCGCTAGTGGTTAATGACTAAAAAGCTTTTCACACAGGACGTCTTTTTCGCAAGCGAGTCGGAAAAAAGCTGACAAGGCAACTCAGCCTAAATGTGTTCTGAGGCAGTTCTAGGAAGCTGACTTGAAACATCATGTCCGCGTTTATCTGCGATAAACATTGTTGCTTGGGCTGTGGACAAACTGCAAAAATGGGCACGTTTCGGCCTCAATTCCGAGCCGCAAACAGTAGCAATAAACTAACTTGCCGCGGACTAATTCTGATGGTTTTAGAGCTACTTTTACTGTTGACATGCCGGGTGACAAATAAAGCAAATGGCTCAAGGTCATGATATTGCAAGGCCGGTCGTCAGCAAACAAGCAGGTTTTTCGGGCGGTGCAAGGCTGTGGCAACAGACAGGCAGCGTTGTTTATAGTGACTGTTGTGCAGTGGAAGCAGGCCTGTTTTTCATAAAGACGCAATGCTTATCTGTAGGCCTGCCCCAGGGTCTATCAGATGTGCTGCCAGTCAACACAGCAAGTCTGATTCAATCCTCTTTCTATATGCAGGTTATTTGCAGGTTATTCAGGCTCTGTAACCGTCCCTCTCTGCTTGCCATCTTCCGCTGGCTTTGATAAATGAATAATCTGCTGAATGAGGTGAAAAATAATCACATCGTCCTCTCCTCGTGGAGATTACTTTGGCGAAATGTACACAGTTGGGTACCACAAAAATCAGGATTAATAATAAGAAGCTTGGAGATGCTACATATTGAATCAAAATGTGTGACTCAGGAAGAGAAGTTGAAGAAAATGAATTTTCCTCAACAAGCGACACTAAAACAAGGGACTTTAAGTCAAATGGTCAGTCTTGCTTGTCTGGCATGTTATCTGCTGTGCACCTAGGGCACCGGCCTTCCTTCTACGTAATTCCAGAAAATGTACAGATCAAGCACTACCTTAAAAACCTAAAATACAAGAAACAAACATCTCAAAGCATACATCACAAAAGAAAAGACGAAGCGAAGCCTCTGGCTTTGCTATGTGAGTCCACATTTCAAACAGATCTGGCCTTCTTTACTTTCACATCAGTCCGCAATTGTGGTCCTACATTCACTGTAAGTCGATGTCTGCTTCTCTCAAATTATATGTACTCTAAAGCCTCCACATTTCCCACACCAGGAAGGAGGTTCATTATCTCTTCTTGGTACCCAGCCCCTCTGTCTTGCAGGGCCATCAGCCATATCATCCATTAAACACGCAGAGACAGATGTCCACTATGCTCTTGTTTATGTGGTGAGGACAGTGAGACGGGACAAAACCGGCACTTTTCTCCCACATTAAGGCTGTGCAGCTCTGCTATACCTCTGCTGTGTTTGTGTTGTAAACTGAGCCTGGCTTCCACAGAAGAAGACAGGACACAGAGCTTGAAGCATAGAAGACAGATGACCCAGGGGATATCGTACCAGTGCAGGTTGGTTTCATTAAACCGTGTGTGTGTGTGTGTGTGTGTGTGTGTGTGTAAGTGAGTGCAGCAACTGTAAATTCAACAATCCAGAATGTGATACCATCTTGTCCCTACTGCGACATGTTATTCCAGACTGGCCTGACAGTTGCCCTGGGCAATATGGACAACCATAATTGTCTGCATCACTTAGGTGGCTACATGCGTTGTGTATCCACTTCGATAGTTTCCAGGGACAGCTGCTTGTTGGCAAGCAAGATGACCATCTTCCTAAGGAAGAAATTTACTCGCCTAAATCTTATCTCTTGGCAAGTCATTATCGAGCTTAATCACAGAGCATGACGTTAGAAGTACTGTCACACATTTAAGGATCCTTGGGGAAAAAAACAAAAAAAACACTGTCATTTATCAATTCTCTGCACCAGAACCTGCCCACAGAACCAAGGGAGGGTGCACAAAACAAGACTGACAATCACTCACTGTCAGACGCGTCCTAAAATGTCCTGGCTACAGGAAAACCTTCCCCTTGTGGAGCAATAAATAAATTCAGAATCACAGGGGAAGAGAGAATTAGATACAGACAGGATGATGCTTTATTATTCATACGTCATTAACATAATATCCCTATTTGCAGCGATGTGAACACAGATTCAGATGGGTGGCATCCGAGGCTGTGGGTAAAAAGAAGGGCCAAAGAGCTGGGTAATAAAGACGTAACCCTGCTTGTTTGAACTTTTAGGAATGTGTACATGCAGTCTACTGTTTGTTTTAGTATGTTTCTCAGTGCAAAAAAGGGGCGATAGGGACTATAGCATTTTGTGGCTTTGGCCTTTACTTTGCTTACATGTACTGCAGATGGACAAAGTTAAGATAGTCGCAAAATACCCTGTAGCTTACATAGAAAACAAACTTTACATATCAACCATGTCAGCCATGCACACCACATGTTCACTTTAAATATCTGTCTGTAAGTTATTAAATAGTGGTTAAGCGAAATGAAGACTAGCAGCTGAGTTTAGCAGGGCCTTCAGTGACCAGCTGCTTTAATTTCACTCACTAAAACGCTACGTTTCAGTGGAGCTACGCTCCAGCTGGAGATCAGACCTTGGCAAGGATAAATATTTAAAAAAGGATTTCAAATATTTGATAGATAATTCGCGGGATGTGATGGATCAAACTGGCCCCCGGATCTGAACAACTCCATAAAAGAGGCTTCAAATATGAGTCAGGCAGATGCGACTGAAGCGACAGACAGAGAAAAAGCAAATAACACATCCATTGTCGGATTCGGGGACTGGAAATATTGTGATTTGTGATTCAGAAATAGCGAACCTGTGCCATATCATCCAGGCAGTTAAAGATGTACTTGCGGGCCTCCTTGGACTTGATCCCTGTTTCACCCTCGTGGTCATCTGGAGTCTGTGGGAGACAAGAAGCAGATGTTTCTGTAAAATCCCATCATACTTCCCCTCTGGAAAGGAATATTTACATTTGGCTCATTATAACCTCTCCTTGTTGATATGCAGCAGACCTCAGCTTACCCTGTGAGCAACCCCGGGGTAGCACAGAAAAATACTCATTGAACTAAAACATATGGGGGAACTGCCTATGGAGGGAATGCTATATTACACTACGCACAGCAATAATATGCAAACTATACACCAGTTTTGAATAGCTGCTGATCACACATGTACAGGTGTAAATATGTCATTCTTGTGTTTCAACAGATTTACACTAAACATATCGGCGCTGACTCGGCCATAAAAAGTTCCTGACTTAACACACAGTATCTTTAATTACAGTCAGCAACACTATGCAGCTGCTGCTAGATGGAAACACATGGTAGGGTCAAATTAAAGCTGAGCAGTCACTCTTCAAAGAGGAAGAAAAAAACGTTCAGGGCCTTGATTTATCACATAATTGACATTAGAAAATCCTGACGTGCTACAGCATTAACGTCAAAAAGCAAGCCGCTCATCAATATGTGTGAGTTGCTTACAATGCTAATAATTATTCTATCAAAAGCACTCCCCACCCCCGCCCTGTGTTTTCAACATTTTTCTCCCTCTCATTATTTTAGCCTCGCCTCAATCCTTTTAATAACTTTGAATATATTATTAGAAGATTCTTCATAAAGTTTCTCCCGGGGTAAAAAGGGGGAAACCGATTGTGTGCAATGTGCAACAAAAATCGCAAGATCCGGACTCGAGGACTGACGTGATGGTTGGGGCAGGATGAGCTGAAGTGAGAGGATCATGGGAGAGGTGGGAATTTGGATTACTGTAAATAAAATAGTATGGCAACTTCATGTGGACAGCTGCAGTGAATTTCTTTTGAGGTGTATTTAGAGTTATAAAAAAAAAAGTTAACCCACAAAAAATGATCATGTTCCAGCTGCCATTAGGTGACAGGCAGGGGACACCCTGAACAGGTCACCAGTCCATCACAGGACCATCTTTACCACTTTAATGACATGTTGCCGGCTGTGTATTCATCAACATTTCTCCACCCGTATAATTTATGCCGCACCTTAAGTCTCCAGAGTGGGTAGGTCGAGTCTGGATCTCTGTTGAAGAACCTGGTGGTCTTCGTCCCTGCACTCAGGAGATATTCTGCAGGCAGACCCTGCGTCTGTGAGATGTACCGGATCTGCAAAAACAGAAGCGGAGGCTCACACCTGAGATTTTTCACATCAGTGAAGTGAGAAGGACGGCAAGGCTCTTTCCGCTCATTACAAACAGCAAAACATCAGAGGAAAATCCGAGAGTTAAAAATCCCAGTTGATTCTAACTTCAACACACTTATGTGGTAGAAATAAACATTACAGCCAAACAGGACCTTGACTTAAAAGCCTAAGACTGATTTGAGAATAGTAAATGAGACGTGCAAAGTTTTTGAGCTTGTGAAAAATCAGTCAAGCTTCTTTAGAGATGAAGCACAGCTTGCTCAGGGTTTCCCCACTGAGCCCCATCTGACTGATACAGAGAGAGAGCAATGCGACAATGTCTTGCTCTGGAGCACAGGGGCTGCACTAATTGGACAAGTGGCTCCGTGGCATCTGTTCATATAAACAGGGAGACTCTGCAAGAATCATCATAGGATGTCAGGGGGATTTCAGGCAGAAGCATCCCACCTTCCCCAGCACACTTCAATATACACGTCCACGGAGAGAAAACCCCCACAAATTCATACACATAAACAAAACTTTGCATGAATTATTTCAGGGTTATTTTCCAATACCCAGCGTAGACTGGAAAGAGTTTCAAAGTACACATCACGTGTTACCTGATCGTACTCTGAGGCTCCAGGGTAGAGGGGCCATCCCAAAAAGAGCTCAGCTATCACACAACCAAGCGACCACATGTCTATGGCCTCGCAGAACGGCAGGCCAAGGATGATCTCTGGAGCCCTGTGGGGGAAGAAAACACAGTGTGGTTTGAGATAGGATGCCTTCATCTTACATGGAATGTTTCAGTCTAATCTGCATGAACTGACATACATCAACAGTGACACAACTTTAGAATGGCATTGGCAATATACGGATGGCTTATTCTGCACGCATCATATGAGCCGTCCAGTGCAATGAACACTGGTCAAAGAGAAAACAATTCACACTGCTCATAAAAGAGACTTGCTTTCTGTTTGGGCAACACTCAAAATTCAATGCAAAGTATAAAGCACAAAGTGGGCACATACTTATATGTGTATGAGAGTAATTTAATTGAATCTGTAATGTCTGAAGGTAATCATGTTGTCCTTACAATAATCTCTCCTTGAAATATTTTTATGACTTAGGTTAGAGGGAAGCTCATTTTTTAAATGTTTCTTCATAGGCTCCAAGGTGCTAAAAGCCATGCAGGAGCGCATACTGCAGTCTAAATTCTGCTGTTTAAACTTGGGAAAAGTTATTTTGGTCTGCAGTCACAAAGCAATGTGGAAGCAATCATGTCATGAAAGATAAAACCAACAACAATATTCACCAGACCATGCAACAAACTCCATCTGAGCTATAATAAAAGGCACCATTTGAATTAAAACTGGGAATACTTAACTTCAAAACAAGCCGTTCATAGCTGTGCATGCCCACAAAGACACATACTCAAACACAAATTAAAGATAATTTTAGCTATGATAAAGGAATTCATTAAAACATCTTGTTGACACATTCTTTCTTAATTCAGTTGAATTAAAGTCTTCAACGTACTTTATGTTCTGTCAAAGTGATTGAAATAATTTTGTTCACGTCTCTAATAGGGCTTAAAATAGCCAAGAACAGAGAAAATCTGCAAACAATTCAAACTCTCTCACTCTAAAAGTTTATCTGGCTGTCATCAACAGAGGAGTTCTGTAAGAGATGTGCTCACTTAGCTCCATAATATCTAATCTAGGCTAAATCCACAAAAAGAAATCACCATCTATTTATCTTTTACATATCCTGCGATGTATATAAAAATAACAGCATGACACAATTCAAAGGAGCTCGAGGCAGGTCTTCGAAAGTGCAGATTTCTGTGACTATGGTAACTACCCTCCTCCCCCAGGCCTTGGCAGGCTCTGGCAGGGATCTGGTCATGAAAAAAGGGGGTCTGGCCTTAGGCTAACAGGAACTGTACATACCAGAGAAAAACAGAATGTGTGGGAAACTGTACGGGGGATGATGCTACAGGACATTACAGACCTGCAGGTGGTTGGAGGTAAATGAAGGAAACCCTCCCCACGGAATCCCCAAGAAAGGTTGCAACAATAGTTCCCTGTTTTTTGCTTGCTGGGTGAAAAGACAACAGGGCAAAGGCGATTCTTTGTGCAGCAAGATATAGTTCATGCATAATAGTAGAGGACATGACCAGTCTGAATAAGAAACTGCACAAATAACAAGCAAAAGATAGAAAACTAATTACAAGAAACCGAAACTGAAAACTGGAAAGAAGCAAAGATGGGGCGAGCAGTGCTTTACACACCAAAGGGATTTTGTCACATTAGGTGGTTATTGGGGTCTAAAGGGCATCAACAGAAAAAACACGAATACGCTCTGGCAACGGCATCTGTGGGCACTATTACACACCAATCCAAAGCAAACATCACACACAATGAGTCGAGACATCTGTCAAAAGGATCCCAAAGGAGCAGAAAGGAGCCTGCAAGGAGGTGATATCAAAGGGAACAGAAAGGTCTACTATAGGCAGGGAAGGGAGGAGATGGACAAAAGGGCCGGGGTCAGCATGATGGTCCTTTAACGGCTTGCATTGCTGTCGCTGCAGACATGACGGAAAGGGAAGAGTATGTCTACACGTGTGAAAAGAAGTATCACCACACAGAAGAAAACCCAATCGAGCCTTGCGCAATTCTTTTGTCTTCAGTAAAAAATAATCCTATGGCATTATGAACCTAAAGCACATTCTCTGAGAGGTTGAAACCTAAAAACACTGCACTGTGACAAAAATCTACAGAACACAACACCAGGAAATGTGTGTTTTGTGTTGTTAATGTTTTTCCATCATTGGTTTTTCTCAGGCCGCTGCTTATTGTAGTGTCGGTTCAGAGTTTCAAACAGAGGGAGGCAGCAAAGCGATATCATTACCGCCGCGGCATTTTTATTCTCCATATAATGAAAACTATACAGCAACCCAGTGGGTCTGTGATGCATTTGTCAACTGAATATGATTTTTGTATCCCAACGGAAAGAACACAAAACATATGCCAACTGATTTGCATGAAAATGAGTTTTTAAAAAAAGACGCTTGTTTCAACTTGAGTGAGACGTTTGCGGCATTGAAAAAAACCAGAGACAGTTTTTTCATGACTGTTTTAAGGAAGCACAATGTATCTAAACATGCTGTGAAGATGAAAGAGGCCAGAAACATTTTTAACAGATGTTGTGATCACTGTAACTCTAGTGGATACTTGCAATCTATAGGACCATCAATTTTACACTTTTATGACACATGCACTCAGCATATTTATAAATCATCCATGCATACTCAGGCAAAGAGGAAGAGCTAAACTTAAGTGTGAGATCAAGGAAGCTTTTGCAACCTGAACTACCTCTTCTGTTATAAAAAAAGCACAATTTGTTCAGTTTGTTTGGCTTTCAGTTGAGTGTCTCTATATAAATGTGTGTATGTGTGTGTCTGTGATGACAACATGATCTGTGCCCCTGTTTCATTTGAAGATTTGCAGGAGTTGACTCTGTATTTTGACCAGTTTCAGCCAAAACCTTTTCCAGTTATACTCTACTGCTCTACTCGGGGTTGATCTCGGTGCCCCCTCTGCCTCACCGAAAGCTCTTCCAGAGCAGCAAAACACAGAGAGAGAAAGGGAGGAAGGAAGAGTGAGAGGGAGTAATGTTGTTGCTGGTGATATGAAACCACAAATGCAAATCTGTCCCTACCAATGCACCTCTGCCATTGCATGCAAAGTGAAATGCAGCTGCTGCTGATGCAGGCCTTTCACTGGCAGTGATAAACGGCGCGCACGTCTGCGCTGCTCACGGCCTCACTCCTTTTCCTGTCCCCCTTTCCCCTCCAAAAAAGCAGCAAGACGGCTGAGTCCTACATTCTTGCATTTGGGATACTTACAGACAGAGAAACTGACTGTCTTATTTTTTCTGTTCTAAACAACTTATAAGCAAATAGATGCTTATCTCAAAAGCTCAGTTAAAAAAACGGAAATTATGGAGGCTATAAAACCACAAAAATTCAAATATGACAATAAACGACAACACATCACAGTCAGACTTTTGTTAGAAAGACAAAGACAAAATGGAATAAAACCTGCAATCATACTGGCCTCATCATCCACTAATCATTTCACGCAGTTTTGGAGAAACTTTAGGGTAAGGCATAAGTGAACCTCGCAGTGGTGCTGAAGGAAAATTGGAGGATCGCATTTCCCTCTGTGGTGCCAACGGTAGGTTGGCTATAGCAACCTGTGCACCATCTAGCTCATCTCTACAGCTTGCATGGCTACCTCAGAGTTCTTTCTACAGTCCATACATGTCACATACAGCACAGACGGCGCGCAAACAACCGACACGCCAAAGGCTTTCATTAGTTTTGAAAAGGGGACCCGACGGCATGAGAGGCCTCAGTGTTCTGGCTGAAGCCTCTGACAGTACTGGCCCTTGACAAAAGACGGAGGGTGGGTGGGATGGGGAGAGTGAGAGAGAGTTTGCATGCTGACATCCTCCCAGCTGGCTTGGTCATTGATGAGCCTCAGTCCCCTTGGGAGCCAGAGATGGCACGACTTATGAATGAGGTCTTTCTTCTTCTACCCCGTCCCAACCCCTGCACCTCAGCCCTTTCACCCGTCCCCTCTGCCAGCCCAGCCAGCCCCTATACCTTACCAAATCTCACCACGCAACCCTCTTCTTACCCCTTTGCCAGCGAACCCTCCCCCCCCAGGCCACTTGCCTATCCGCCCTCTGCTATGTTGAACTCCACTTGGCTTGCCTGCCAGCCCACACACATACGAGGCGAACCCTCGCACAGATACATGCGCACAGCTGACATCACGGGCTGTGTGCATGTCAGGATGCATCCATCAGGCTGACCTTCCTTCAGTTTGGCTCCAGAAGAGAGACTGACAGATTCCTGAAACCCAGCAGTATATTTGCATGGGCAGAAATGCACCGTATTCATTCGTAGAGTTTGCTTTTCTTTTTTGCTTTTCGAAGCTTTAATCTCAGACTTTAAAACAACACTACCTTAGTCAGTAAGTTGGCAGCAAGAAGTAAGGAGTTGGTACATCACTAAGGTAAATAATTTAAGGCAATGTACTGGCCGCGTTAAAAGAAGCGTAACACAAACTCACAAACTATGGAGTTCTCAAGTGCTTTCAGGAAAAATCAGTCCATGAGAGCCATCATTGTCTCTCCACTCTATCCCTTTCCCTTCTTCCCCCTTTACCTCCCTTCTCTTCGTCACCGGGTCTCTTTTTGCACTCATATTGCTGCGCTTAATGTAAAAGGCTTGTGCTGTTGGTGTGAATGACTCCCCTCCTCTCCTGGGGTTTTCATCAACATATTCATGCTACAAAATGTTCCTCCACCATGTCTTTGAAGATACATCACGGAAAAACACTTTTCTAGATATACTGCACGGTTACTGGTGACTGTGAAATCAATATGCAAAGCTATATCCCCCGCTATGCACCTGTGGCTTGTAGGACCTCCCTCCTACCTGACACATACACACATAGCCATATATAAATATACTTACATATAGATACATATATATGAACCAAATGGTGTATGGATGGATGTATATACTCCACCTGCCTCTATCATATCAGTAGTCTAGCCATGCATTGGATGATATTGTGGACAGTAAATAAACATTTATGCAGCAGGGAATGGAGACTTTTTAAATTTAGAGTTTGCGTATTCCAGGTGGTTGAGGGGTGGAAAGGGGA